CTCACTTAAAGTTCCTCGTAGATCCTGGTACTCCTTGGTAGAATGTATCAAAATCTGAAATACTTTGTCATTCATTCCCGGCATTTAGTGATACTTTCAACAAAACTCTCACCCGTGCGCTCACCATCATCCATATCCACTCTTTCAGTTAAACAATAAAAAATTGATTCGATGAAATCCATGTTCCGATAAGTTTTTTCGGCGAAAATTAACTTTCAGTGGAATTCATTTTCGGTGAAAATAGACTAAACCACACAGAACGTGCATTTTGTACTTTATTTTTGGTGAAGACGTTAAAAAAGCGAGGATAGGAATGGATGTGGGTGTGAGTGCATAATACTTTTACCCACACCCTCATCTATACCTACATTCATTCATCCTTCATTACCCATACCCACACTGACATTCATCCATCCTCACTTACACTCGCAAGCAGTTTTGTTTTGCTCTATTACTCGACGTTGTTTACAATAGTTTCTCTTTCATACTGTTGTTATGTTTATTACAATTTTTTTAAGGTTTCGTTGCAATGGGAAAAAAACCCTGAGTGAGAAAAAGAAAAAGAGAACGCAAATAAAAAAGCGTACTTATTTGAATTCGTTTATTCAACGAAAAATACCATCAAGAGAAGTGTACGGCGAAGTAAAACTAGACACTTACGCAGGATCATAACAGGTGAGTAACACGTATGCAAATTTCACAGCATAGAAGGATGAGTGTGAGTATCAGAGATAAGAGAGAAGACACTCAATCCATATCAACACTCGCATCCAGACCCATATCCTATATTGAATCAACATCAAAGTTTTGAATAATTCGAAAGTTAATCTTAGAAACTGATTTTTTTATAAGAATGAATGGAAGTGTTTTTGGATAAGTGACTTTAATCAATATTACTTAGTTTTCGAGTCCGAGCTTTAACTCAAATTCGTCCAACCCTGAACAACATGATTTTTCTTTCGTCGTTTAGACATAAATTCTGGCAGGATTAGAAGTCTTCGGTTGAGAACAATAAAGCATCTATTACACTTCATTAGTAGATATTTCAAAATTAAAGTTCCTTACAAAAGAAAATGTTGTCATGCTCGCCTCTACAAGGTTCAAGTTACGGTGCTTATAATTCGGTTACCGTCATGATTATTGTTGTAGTACCTTTGGTTGTTTTCATAATAATTGCCGTCTACACAGCCTGTCTTCGTGGGCATGAATATGGAAACTTATTTTATTATTTAATTGACACACTTTTTCATTTTGAACCAATAGAAGATGAAAAGAGTAAAGAGGGACAAGATAATGAGAATAAGTCTTCTGCAGTAGCCATACCACGACACAGAAAATCTCTTAAATTCTACGAACATATAATTAATTCGAATCGTCGTCGTACTGTAATGTTACTCTTTATATCTGTCTTCACGATTACATCGTCCTTAGCCGTATTTTTCGAAGGAGTTTTTCTGGCTAATGAATTTCTCAAACCAAATTCAAACTGCCCTTATGATTATGATACACTAGACTGTTATGGATATCAAAAAAGACTCGATCCTTATCCTAACTGCTATTTTCAATGTACACCCGGTCAGCAAACCCCTGACAGCTCTGCTTTCTTTGGTGAAGCAACGTGTTACCGCTGGGTTATACAAGATATTACAGTATTTGATGTTTTTGGACAGATTGGTATCTGTACTGGGATTCTAGGCGCATTTGGGTTTTTTTTCCAATTTTTTCTGGCGTTATCCATCTATGTATTTAAACCGACAGAAGACAAGAGTCGCCACGGATGTAACTGTAGATGCTGGAATATTCGTACCGGTTCCTGTATACAACTTGGGACTTTTGGCCCTTATAAGCGACCATGGCTCGCTGCTCTTTTCATTTTGTTTTACATACTAATCTTTCCCATTGGTATCATGGTGACAATAGCCATACTACCGTCATATAAACGAGGCATTAGTGCATTTACCTACGTTGTGGCATTTACAACCTTCGTCCTCTCACTACCTGCAATTGTGATCGCAGCCGCAGATATTTCTACAGCTAGTGATAATGATAGCGATACGACTACGAATACAAATGAAAACAATGCCAACGTCCCCGACACCCTCCCCCCGGCGAGTACTCAAAAAAAAGTGTCAGAAGTTGAACGAAAGACTTTCTCAAATTTATCGATGAGAACAAAAATGGTGAATAATACTGTGGGAGTTGTATCACCATCAGGCACCCATTAGTTGAAAGACTCGATTTGGATATGCACAATAACTTACAATCTTGAGTGCTAATGTGAGATGATTAATAAACTTAAAACAGCAAATATCCACTGTAATGGTCGTTGATCATTATGTTTTACTAGTGTGACCTCTTCACCGAGCATTGACTTTCTCTTCCTCTCTTCTGATGTGACTGCTACGGCATGAGCGTCATGCATTGTTTATCTTTTCTATATAAGCGTATGCTCTATGTTTGAACAGCATGACTTGTTGTGCGACGAAGCCAAATAAAGCGTGTATCACCATTTAACGGACTGTTCTCTCCTCAAGTTCCTCAGACCTACCCATTTTTTTTGATCCAAATTACCCCAGTTGACTCTATTTTGATAAAGATACCAGCAAACAAGTGGTTTCCACCACACACTCACCCTCAAACTTCATAGAATATCGTTATTCTCTCAAATAGACCTTTCTTAATGAAAAATGGGACTAAAAAAATTTTTCAGATCAATGATACCATTTGGTTCCTCGGCGCCGAAGACCTTTGATCAAACTTTATGTAGAAAAAATGTTTTTCTCACATTTGAGCTTTGACCTGCGACAGATAGATAAACACAACTTCACTTTTTTTTCACACCATCCTTCTTACAGGCGAGAGAACATATTTAACAAATGCAGCTATTGTAGGCTAGCAGTATCCATCAGGATAAATAATTAGACTATTAAATTATGTATCACAAGATCGTTGTTATAAAGATTATAGTTATGGTATACGATTAATTAATCGTATGGGAACAATAAATGGACAATGGTACGATATATATGATGTCTTACAACATAAAACATTGGCATCATTGATCAGTGATGATAGCTCCTTTAATGCTATATAAATATATACATAAATTTATACAACAAGATGCTGACAAATTTTGTTACAGAATGATCGTTTAGGTATGGATTATTTTTGTAAGTTTTTGAATTGAAAGAATCATTAAGTGTCATTTCAATTTTCTACAATTAAGAGAATTGCAAAATTCAAGATATCGAAACTGTATATTTTTCCTACTGCATATAAAGTATGGATGTAATATCCATATCCATGTTTTTCTCAACAATTCTACAGCTAAATCAGATTGTATAATCTTATTATTTACCATCCATGTGTATGTACTGTTCAACTTGTTGAATACTCTTCAATGTAAATAATTTGAAGATAAACATTAAAAATAGAGAAAGATAGTTATTACTGGTAAAATATCGACGATTTAGGAGTCGATTATGTATATACTGTTTTGCAATAAACATGAGTTAATTGTATTTACATTAAAAAAAACAATTATATATAAAAAATCAAATAAGAAAATGATTTATTAAGAACTTCATTGGTTATAAAAAAACGCTTTGTAAAAACTGATGAAATAGTAATCAATCGATGTCACACCAATAAACAAAATATTTGAGAATACAATATCTCTAAAAAAATTTTTAAATATAATACATAAACAAGCCGAAAAATATTTATTTTAGAGTTTTTTTTGATATTCTTCTGTTTCTTCGGGTATTTTATCAAAAAAACAAGAGGCAGAACGATCGTATATGGAACATATTCGTAAACTTACCATTCACTTCTTCTTTTTTTCTTAGTATTTCTTTATCATTAACAATCTTTGAACTGATTCAACTCTGGATTAAATCACTCATTCCTTTTATTTTCATTCTAGTCATTTTCGGTCCGCATGTAAACAAAAGGACTAAAAATCCGATTAAAATCAATTATTCTGAAACAAATCACAAAAGACCCATAATATACGACAATTTCTATTTAAATTTAACAAAATTCCAAAAGAATAGATTAAAAATTCTGAGAGATGTGAACGTTCTAGTTATTCTATTCATCTGCATCCACACCAATTGCATAGTATTTTAAGAAATTTTACGATTGCGTTGTTTACTTCACTATTTGTTTCGGCTTCCATTAATAGTCTTTTTTTTCTTTTTCTTTTTCTCTTTCTTCTTTATAGCACATGAAGAAAACGTTTTAATTTGATTCTCTTTCACTACCTGTCAGAATAAATACTGATTCCCATAGTAATGCTTACTATACACAAAACAGACATTTTCTTACTCTGTAAATTTTTGTTCATTTCTTTTGCGTACACAAGCCGAAGCAAACAAACATGCTTGACGGTCCTTTACAATTTTTTTTTATGTTTGGAATTCTTCAACATGGATCTAAAATGCCTGTCAATTTAACATTTCGTCCTCAACTAGAATATCGACTTTTCTATCATACTATCGATACCATATATGAACTGCCGAATATGAAACGAATTGTTAAACGACAAGAAATCGAAAGTGTTGAGCAGATCGCTGCAATCAATAAAATTAAGATTCATATAACCAATATAAACGTGACATTAGATCCGACTAATATGACTGAATCAAATATATTATTAAAGCGACCTTATTTCGATCGTTTAGAAGAATACCAAGTACCAGGTGATTTTCGATCTCGTGATTTACCATTTGGCTATAAATGGATGCTGTTTCCGTCGCCTGAAAGTTTGATGACACCCGAACAGAACTTGTATGAAGGACAAAAATGGGCAGTAAAAATGGCTGGTGATGCTTTTGAAATAAATTATGAATTGAAAAATATCGATCATAAGCAACATCAAGCAACCATTGAAGGTCACGATGGTGTCTGTAGAAATGGATTAGATGGATACAAACTATGGAATGGTACTTGGATAGTAGATACTCGTACGGGAATAATTAAACGAAGATATCTAGAACTTAATCATCAAGTTACTGGATCGAAAAAAATAACACGTATGAAGAGTACCAAAGTCTTGGTGCGAGAAGAACCAGATAAAGACAAGATTTTTGATTATGAAATCGATCATGATGATTTATAAAAAGAACGCTTTGAAATACATTAATAAATTCTGCTTTTTTTTCGAGGGTCTAAGATAAAAGTCAAGACATTTACACGCTGACCAGTTGAATTCAAGTATTACATATAGGGTATATTCAGTTTTTCAATAATATATATACATTAGATTTAAGATTTCATTTGCTTATCTCAAATACGTTGAATGATATAGTTTTATCTTTTTATTCAAATAAAAATAATAATTGAAATTTTTTTAATATGAAGTATCGTGTATAGCTAATTACATCGATTAATATTCAAAATTGTTCAATAAAAAAAATATGAAAGTCGAACTTCTCATATAGTCTATTGCATAACAATTGGTTAGTTGATATTTATAAAACAAAAGTATACCTGCTAGGTAATGTTGAATCTTTAAGATCAACAATCATCAATGTTAGTATAGGTCGATCATTTATTGCTAAAACAATAAAATCATTGTCGGCTATTATAAATGAAGCTAAATATATTTATATTAGATTCGTCTTATTATTAAAATTATTTTTTTTCACCGATAGTCGTTACAATCTTTCGATGTACAAGTATATATGAATATTATTCGCTCAATAATTGACAAATCGAAGATTTTAAGTTATTATTAATAACTATTTTCAATGAAACATAAACTGAAAAAAACACATTTTTCTTCACCCGTACCTATTGACCGAACCGTAAAAAACAATATTTATTTTGTTTCGTCATTAACGCACGTTATCTATCGATTATACGTATATCCTATCATTGTAAATGTTGTGCATGAATGAAGATAAAAACAAATGAGTATAGCTTTTATTTCTATAATAATATTTTATCGATTATAATATAATGACTACAAAAAGTTATTTCTTCAATATAAATGAATTAAATAATGAAGAACAAAAAAAATTTGATAGTGTTTATAATGATTTAAAATCACGTCATCAATCTTATTTGGAATTTAAACATGGTTTACAATTGAAAAATAAATTAGATGATGATGAAGAAGAAAATGAATGGCGTTTTGAATTGTATCGATTTCTTCGTGCTCGAAAATGGAATACAACACATACAATTAAATCAATTTTGGAAATGATTCAATGGCGAATTGATAATCGTGTAGATTTAATTTTAGAGGATCAATCTGCGAAATATCGAATGGAACTTTATCAAAAAATGGCTCCGAGTACTTATCATGGACATACCAAAGCTCATCTACCATTGTATATAGAGAAAACAGGTCAAATCGATGTTGACGAAATGCTTAATAAATTTACAAACGACGAATTCATTCAATGTCATATCTATTGGCTTGAATATAATTGTCAATTAGCTCGAGAACATGGTCGACAATTCGGAGAACATATCGAAAGTATTGCTTGTATTTATGATTTGAATGGCATGAAAATGGATGTAAGAAAGTTACTCAATCCTGGTAAACAATGTCTCTATATTGATGATAATTATTATCCAGAACGTCTAGGACAATTAATTGTTCTTAATCCACCAACAATATTTCCTGCTCTTTGGAATTTAGTTAAACATTTTATTGATCCAGTAACGAAAAAAAAAATTATGATTTTAAAAAAAGGAAATGAAACAGCAACAACATTATTACAATATATTGATTCGGATCAATTACCAAGTGACTATGGTGGTAGTTGCCAGTCATGTGCAACTTCTCCAGATTGTATTCCTATCCATAATCAAACTAATAAATAGAAGAAATTTTTTTCTTCAATGATCTCAATGTGTCCTCCTCATTTTTAATGAAATTATAACATACATTTGATTATTTGATTTCTTTTTAATATCGTTGACTGGTGATATAAAAAAATTTCAATCAAATAAGACAAGTTCTTTTTTTTTTTGGTCTTGTTATTAGGGAAATTGACTCTAGGCAATTCTTAGATATTAAATAAAGTGCAGGAAGCACACAAAAAAGAGAAACTGTAAATGAGTTGGATGATTAAAAACATTTCATTTACATTATGTATGTGTTGCTATAAAAACGAAGCACTTGATTTGTATTTCAAAGATTGTACTAGAATAAAATATTTTGATATAATGAAATCACTAACTTTTGTTATCCTGCTAAACTATTTGTTTTACTTTTGTGATTGTGGAACACTTCCAGATTCACAACTGGCTGAACAAACACTCATAACAAGCTTGTTAAGCGGTTATAACAAAAATATAAGACCAAATGATACAGTATCTGTTGATATAACTGCTCAACTACAACAAATTGTGGCGATAGATGAAAAACAACAAATAATGACAACAAGTTCATTTATTTCACAAACATGGTTCGATGATCGATTATCATGGACACCAAATAATTCAAATAATAATATTCAAGTAGTTCTACTTCCAGTTACAAGTTTATGGATACCAGATACAATGATATTAAATTCTGCAGATGCAAATGGTTATCTCACAGTCAGTACTTATAGTATGGTATCTGTTAGTAATACCGGTCAAGTTTATATGATATTACCAGCATTAACAATAAAAACAAGATGTAATTTTTATGTTCGATATTTTCCATTTGATAAACAAGTATGCAGTATTAGTTTAACATCATGGAGTCAAGGATCAAATCGAATAATATATACAGAAGATAGTAATACAGTCATTGATATTAGTGATTATACTGAACATCCTTTATGGAAATTGAATGGAACAGATATGGTTGTAATTCGAGCAGAAGATAGAACACCATTTGAAGATACTTATAATGATGTAATAACAATACAATTGTATTTACAAAGAAAACCGTTATTTTTTATTCTGAATGGAATATTTGCATGTTGGGTTTTAAATTCAGTTACGTTGGTATCACATGCATTACCTTTTGCAGCACAAATTGGTCTATGTAAGAATTATTTTTCTTGAATAAGAGATAGAAGTTACGTCCTATTTTCATTTTAGGCATGACATGTTTTATGACATATTCTGTTTATTCACTTAATTTCTCCAATTTATTTCCACAACAATCTCAATATTTAATGATGATTACATTTTATTTTTTGTTATCAATATGTTGGACATTGATATCAATGATATGGTTTGTTTTATGCAATCATTTTATAACAAAAGGTGAAATGCCAAAATTACTTTATAGTTTTTCTGAACTGTTACAAAAAAGAATATTTCTTTTTTGCTTTCCATTACCAAAACAAGATAAACCAAATCCTTCACGTTTTCGACAGAATATTAAAGTTGAAAATATTGATATGGATCAGCATTTTTCCATTGAAAATGCGACATCTATGGGAAAAAATAACATTGATGATACACGAATTGAAACAAACAATAAAGCGAAGTCAAAATGCAACTTTTGCAACAGATGTGAGACATGTCAAGCTGATTTGAATAAAGATAAAGTGAAAGGGAACAATAAAAAAGACATTGAAGCTAAATGCAGTGCTTTGAATTGTTTCGTCTTCTTTTGTTTATTATTGGTAATGACTATTTCTGAATTATCAATATGGATCACAATGGCAGAATGATTAACTTTAACTTTTTTCTTTGATTATAATATTTTTTCTCAATTATTATTAAAATAAAAAACGAAATATTGTTCCTGCTTTGAATGAGAATTACAAAGTAAAAAATCAAAGATTTTCACTCTGGAATATTTATAATTTTGATTTTTAACTAATGAGCAATGAAAAGATCTGCTACAGTGAGTGAAACAAAGAAAAACACAAAGATAATTACACAGTTCATTTTGTTCCTATTATCATATCATCAAGATTTTGTGCGACTGACACTTGACTCATACTTAGTTCTTTAAATTTATTATTTATCGGCCTATATCAGCATTAAAATTTTTCAAAAGCCTTCTTTGTCGATTCTATTTTTGACCATAAAAAACCTTTAAGTACCGCAAAAATTTCTAATAAAGTTGATAAAAAGGAGACAAAACACATGTTATTTAATTATTTATTGTGAGGTTTACTTTAGATAGATGGTTTTCGTTGAATGTCTCATACATGCTCTTCGAAACTACACCCTCTTTATTTCTCTGCAATGATACTTTGTATAAAATTTATTATCGAGTAGAAATATAACTTGAGAGTTTTATTTCAGTATGGTATGCAGATCACAATACAATAAAACTCTCACGTCATATCTCTATTTGACAATAATTTTTATACAAAGTATAATAGCACAGAATTAAACAGGTAGGAAAAACTTTTGTGCACGAGTGTATCTCATATCTGAGTCCATTTTTCTATAAAAATTATTTTTCAAAAGAGTTCGAGATTTTTTCGCTTGTTTTTCTTGTCTGTTTCACCGAAATCTTTTTGGTACAATATCTGATTTCAATCGTTTCGCAATCGACTCTCGACACTATCCATATTATGCCGCTAAAATAGAGTATTCATAGAAACAAAAACTGAAGACGATTAAAATATTAGAAAGAAGTCGCAGTCTTCGAAATATTTCATTTTACAAAAAATATAGAAGTATTGTATAAATACACAATATGAAATCGAGCTTTGTAGATCAGAACTTGAATTCTTTTCATGGGAGCTTCTATTAAGTCCGAAAGAATTTTCATAGATTGTGACTATAAAGACGATTCGAAAGATTTCTACAGATTTTTATGAGTTTTCAGAAGATTTTTAGCGGTATTTTCAGATTTTAGCACAGCTCGACTGGAATCGGTCTCCTAATACGCCAAACACAATGCTCATTGCAGAGACGACTTCTATTATGGGAAGGGGTTTAAGAAAAGAATTGAAATCAACAGAAAATTCTAAAAATCAGGAGGTTTGACAACCCTGAGCCAAGTAACTTTCAGAACATCTCCTGTGTATTTATTGCTTAGAAATTATACATTTATATTCAAATTTAAACTACGCAACTCATGCATTTTTTTTTCCTTTTCACAATGTCCTTGTTCATATAATATAGAAGTATATAGTGAACGAATAAAAAATTTACGATATCTCGTCACGAACATTTTTGAGCTATTACATTATGACACATATATGCGACATTTTTCATATTAATGTGTTAAAAAAGTTTTTTTCTCTCTATGTATAGTACTCAAACCAAAGAAGCCCTTATTATAACGTAGAGCAGCGACTCTTTCTTTCTTGAAAGGACTCATTCTTTTTTGTAAGAAGAAAAAAAATCCCTTATTATTACTTCCTTACGTAACAGGAAAGTGAATAAATTCACCTTTTTTTTTTTATTCAAAGAAGAACACATATTCTTGTACAAGGCAAAACAAGGACGAAGGCGAGTATATATAATTAGAATAGATACATATCTTTTGTTATTCGATTCATTTGAATATTCATATAATAGTCTTCTTTAGATTTCCAACCTGATTGCTTTGTGAAACAAAGACAAGATGACAGGTAAATCATTTGTTTCGACACTAGAAGAAAAAAAAATATCGAAGGAGATATTCTGAATAGTTCAACTAATAAGGCATTCTTTATTTTTAGCATAGTGATATAAATCATACAGAAGTCAAAGATAATAATGTGTACATTTTTTCATTTAGTAACGTTATGATACCATTTCTCTAGGAAATCTATAGACTCAACAAAAGAGATTAAACTAAATGAGTAGAATTTTAGTGCAATATGAAATGTTTTTTTTTGAATTCAAACGCTTTAAAATATTGTCTACTGTGATTTAGAACCTGCACAAACTAGCCCATTATACGAACAACCTCAGAAACCTCTAGGTAGTAGTCGTTATTCTGGTAATTTTATTAAACTTACTGGTATCATTGGTCTTCTCTCTTTTATTGCTGCTGTTGCTCTTACAATTATCGGTACTGCTGGTCTTCGTAATTATGGTTTTTCTAATAATCCTCTTATTGCTGGTATTGTTCTTTTTGGAGTTGGTACAGCTCTTCTCATAGTTACTTGTGTTGCGGCTGGTTCAAAATAAATGAAAATAAGATATTTTTTTAAATAGTATTATATTGTCATCAAATTTTTTCAAATTTGTTTTTTTTTTGGTATTTTCAAGTATGTATAAAAATCAAATATTATTCATCGTACAACACAGATGTTCGACATTGAACAGCAAACATTCTCGTATGATTCATATACATCTTTATTCTTAAGATATCGATAATAAAAACTGTTGTCACTGTAATAAAAATAAATAGTTAATAAATATATTTTTCAAGCTAGTAAATCAATCTTCTCATATTTCTCTCAAAGAGAGAAAATAGGGGAAGAAACGATCACGTGGTTATGAAATAGACAAAAGAGGGAGGGCCATTCGAAAGGATGTCCATCTTTTTTTTCTTCAATTATAGATTTTGTAAATTCTATTTAGTCGATTACAAAATCAATGATTATTATTTTTTCTTTTTGCAATGAGCAGACGTCTTTTCTGTTCTTCTTCGATCAAAATGAAACTGTCTCATGTGTTAGTTAATTTACTTTTATAGTGATGCCATGCATTAAATTGTACATTCACATTCAAATTACGTAACTCATGCAACGTCGTTCTGTTTTCATAATAACCTTCTTTCTATAGTAGTGAAGTACAACGAGAAAGAAAAAAAATGTATGGCATTTTAGAATTGTTACATCACGACTCATACATACGACATTTTTCATATTAATGTGTTTAAAGAGATTTTTTTTTCTATATACATATTCATCAAACCAAAAAAAAAACGTCATTATAATGTAGAGTAACCTCTCTTTCTTTCTTCAAAGGACCTATTTTTTTCTGCAGGAAGAAAAAAAAATGTCTAGCTATTACTTCCTTACGTACCAAGAAAAAGAATAAAGTTCACCTTTTTTTTCTATTCAAAGAAGAACACATATTCTTGTAGAACGCAAAAAAGAGACGAAGGCAAGTATTAAAAATTGGACTAGATACATACCTTTTACTATTCGATTTATTTGTATATTCATGTAATAAAGTCTTTTTTTTATAGATTTGTAACTTGATTCATTTGTAAAACAAAGGCAAAATGAGAGGTAAACTATTCGACTATCAATTGTGATGACTATATAAAATAATCGTTTGTTTTAACAAAAATTATTTCATATATTTTGAATCTTATTAATATACATTTGTCCTATACGATGATAATATTTTATATTAAACTTATAAAATTTTCTAATCTAAATACAAGTAACTTTTGTAAATAAATAACATTGAGTGAAAATATCAAATTGTTATAAAGGAAGTATCAAGTTTTACAATCTGTTGCCCTAACGAATGTTGTAAAAAGATGATTTTTTTTAGAGTGTAAATAATTGTCTATTATCATTTAGATCCTTCACAATCTATCGTATTATATAATGAAATTCAGCCAACACCGAAGAAAATTGAAAAAGTTCGCTCTTATGACAAGATGTATTCTGGTTGTTTTGCTATAATTAGTGGCACTCTTGGCTTTCTTTGTCTTATCCCTGCTATTATTCTTACTCTCACTGGTGCTGCAGAGCTCGGTGATGATAATAATAATCGTCTTGTTGCTGGTATTGTTCTATTTGGTTTTGCTATTACTCTTATTATTTTAGCTTTTCTTACATGTTGTTTTAAATAAATAAAAACAAAATTCTTGTATTATAGTGTAATAAAGAGAGAAACTATGCTGTCATCAAATCTTTTGTAAATTTGTTTCTTTTAATAATTTCTACAGATTAGAATTTATTTTCGGTTCATGTTTTGTTGTTTCTGCCATTGTATAGACAAATTTTTCACATGCCACTTTATTTTCCATCATTCGTTTGAATCCATTTTCAACTCCATTAAGACCACCAGATATTTTAGTTACTTTATTTGGTTTTAAAAGATCGTTTGGTAATAAATAATCAGAAAGTAATTTATAAAACGTTTCAGCAAATCTCTTGTCTTCTGGTCTTGCTTTGTAGACTTTACGAAACGCGTTAATTTCATGTCCAAAAATAGTATACATTAAAACGCTACGTTCTTTAATATGTGATGGTATTTCACTGGATATTCGTGGTAGAATAGTAACTACTTGAGGATTTTGACCTGTTAATGTAGCACATACTTGTTTAATTGATTCCTTTTCAGAGATACAATCGATAGCATAACTTAAATTGTCATTCGTTACTTGCTTGATTTGTGAAACAACATTTGAATCTTTGTAATCAAAACAAACATCAGCACCAAGTTCTTTCAAATAATCGTGACGAGCAGGTGATGCAGTTGTAATTACAAAACAACCGGTTACTTTAGCTAACTGAATTGCATATTGTCCTACACTTGTACTACCTGACCAAACGAGAATCGCTGGTTTAGACGTAGTAGTAGTAGTGGGTGGTAAAGGTAAGCCCATTTCATGGAATAGACCAAGAGCTGCTGTAATTGAAGCAAGTGGAATTGTGGCAGCTTCATCCGGAGATATTTTAGATGGATAACGAAAGACAAGTGATGCTTCTTGTACAACATATTCAGAGTAAGCACCACGAAGGCCCATGTCAGCGTGTACACCACCAGGAACACAACCAGCTACCTGTTCTCCTTTTTTATAGTTACCTGCAAAATAAAAAAATAAGAGATTAATTAACAAATATTTTTCTGCATTTTTTTATATACTCACCAATAGCTTCTTTGCCTACTTCGACAACTACACCAGAAAAATCACAACCAACAATTGATCCAGGCATAGCAGCTCCAAAATAAACCGATTTCCAATCCGTTGGATTCTGTGCAACATGCGTTACTTTGATTAGAAGATCCTTCAGTCCACATTGTGGAAACTAAATAAATATAATACATGAGTATGTTGCAACTTAACAGAAACTATTTAGATTTACAGGGAGTTCTTCAAGAACAAGCCTTTTAAGTTGACGTACGACTAAGGCCAACGGCATGATGCGTGTTGTTATTATAAAGATTGATGAAAAATAAAGATAAAAAGCATACACTTGATTTTTTTTCTTTCGTTCTTTGTTTCTTTCTTTTCTGTTCTGTTTATAATAAAACCACTCACTAGATAAATGACGTTTATTTCTATATAAAGTATTTAGATAAACGGAAGAGATACGGCAGTGAGGCATTGATTTTTAACTTTTATTTTTTTTTAAACTGTTGATGACAAAGTAAGTTTTAAAAGGAGAATAAATGATAATTTATTCCTTTAAACAGAATATTTACAATAATTTCTTTGATTATTTTAGTTTTAATATTTATATATGCGATAATAATCATCATTATTGATAGAGGAGAGATGGGGAATATTTCTTGTATATTAATTACTGCTGAGCTTATTTTCTTTATTTTTGACTCCATAAAATTCTGTTTAACACTTTTATTCGAATAGAATTTGAAGAATTAATTAGAAATATTCTTCATTGAAAACTAGTCGAAAATGTTGTTGGATTTTTTTGCTATATGTAAAGTAGTTGAAATCATTTCCTTTATTCTTAGTTGACTAACATCTTGAGGAGTGAGTGTGGGTGTAGTATTTTTTTTAATCAACATTTATATACATAGTCAAATGTATGTCAATTGTGCGTGAAATTTTATATTTCCGAAGAAGATCAATTCTGACCGAGACATCAATAATTAAAATAAAAATTTATTTAAAACAACAACTATAACAATATAGGTGGTTACATTTTTGACAAGAATAAACACGATGTCAATTACGACGACGACGAACGACGCTGCACTTTTCACATGTATAATGACGACCATAACCATAATGATGATGAATACAAACATTACCGCAATGAGTTATACTACGGTCATTACATAGATTAGAACAGCCTTGATGTTGGCACACGAAATGTTTTTGTGGCGAGGACTTGTCCATAGTTCCTCACGTATCGTCTAAGTATAAACATAAAATATTGTTTTCTATAGCAAGAAATAGCAGCATAACTATATCGGACTTTTAATAGGATTTTACAAATAATTTTATTGAAATATCAAAGAGTCGATGCTTACCTTTCTGTGTTTATCATTAGGAAGATAATTTTTAAGAAGAAATAATATAAAAGACATATCTTTTTCACTCTTTTATATAGCACATATAAATTTTGCAATTACATCGTATCCCTGATGTCGTATACTGTAGGTAATGATGAAAGTTTATCTTGTGACATATCACATGCGTCAAAGATAATATGAGCCATTCGTTGGAAAAAAGAGTCCTTCCACAAAAAAATATGCATTTGTGACAAATATTATTCGTATGGTTTATTTTCTGATCGAAGCTAGTCAGAACAAAAACCTTTTTCAAGATTTAAATACGACAAGATTCATCAATTTGTCTAATATTTATATTATAAAAACCAATGTTATTGACTAATCCTGTCTTTGAATACGAAGTCTTATCTAGTTTTTCTGCAAATGCTCATTTAATCAAAGTTGGTTAATGATTGTTCTCTCTTTAAATGTAAATAACAACGCAGCTTTTAATGATGTGACAAAACATTACATAGGAGATCTATGAGTGCAAATATAAACATTCATTGTACTCTCAAGGTGTTGAAGAATCGTTTATGGTTTAATTGAAGACAGCTTGAGTAGCACAATTGGATAGTGCATTGGTCCACGAAGCCAAAGGTTGGGAGTTCGAGTCTCCTCTTAAGCAGTCAGTATACCTTTTTTGCTATTCACAGCGTTGTGTGAAAGAAAAATCAACATGTTATTGCTCAAGTTGCAGAAAGGACTTAATAATCACAACAGAAAAAAAGTCAAAAATGAAATCTTAATAGAAAGAATAGAACTCAGTACCTCGAATAACTGTATTTTATTATCATGCCGTTCTCAATATTTTTCGTTTCAATGAACGATCATAGTGAACAAAATAGTGAACATATTTTTCTATCTTTTTATCATTCTCAAAAGACCAATTTGAAAAGACAATACTCATAAACCTACTTCGGCAAATGGATTGAATTTTACCATGAGCAATGACGATCAGAAGTCGTTCATATACACTACTGAACTATATTAGCTCGAAATGTTTTCTCATGCAAAATAAAATATATCTGAATATGAATTTCATCCTTTCTTTTCTTTGTCACACAGCACGGTGAATAGCAAAAAAGGTATACTGATGGCTTAAGAGGAGACTCGAACTCCTAACCTTTGGCTTCGTGGACCAATGCACTATCCAGTTGTGCTACTCAAGCTGTCTTCAATTAAACCATAAATGACTTCTTAACATCTTGAGAGTACATAACCATAGTAAAGATACACCTACGCCCAGTCATCTTTTGTTAGATGTTACTCTGAGTTTTGCTTGTAACTGGATGTTATATTAGCTTTAAAAGTCCGATAGATAATACACGTAGATTGTTGTCAAAGTAAGAATGAGAAAAAATAAACTGACATAAGCACTGTGGAAAGAGAATAAAAAATCATAGGGTCTTCATTTTGCGTTTTATTGTTGTTTTACTATTATATTTTTATGATATGGATCATGTGTTAAGAAGAAGCAAACGATATGTAGACTAATTTGAATATATAAAAATTGTTATTTTACAGGTTTGACCTTTGATTATAAATGAAAACAATGTGGAATTTTGAGAATTTGCATTTAAAATACAGAATATGTTGCGAACGATGAAGTTGAAACATTTTTCAACAATCTTCTGTCATTTGATGATGTGACAGTAATCACACTTTAATCATCCGCACTTACAGTCACACCATGATTGAAATTGCACAAGATTTTGTCTGAGTGTTGACTGCATATACCCTTTCTTAGGTAGTAAAACACGTCAATATTTATTTGAAAATGGATGAACAACATTTCTATACTTCTTCCATCGTCTTTTCATTTTGATAATTAACTCAGTTGCACTCATCATACACACAAATGGAATACTCAAGCACACTACACTGCCTCCATAGTTATAGAAAACTGTTGTTAAATCGCTGGCAAAAATTGAATTTCCTGATATTCGTCTGATTGCTTGGATCAGAGTATACGGTAGTAAACAGGCTGTATAAATCACAACAATCATCAAACATTGTAGTATCATTCGTCGGATTTTTGCTTGTGTGAGATGTTGGCGATTTTGTTTTTGTTGAATTGTTCGATAGATTAAGTAAAGTGTCGTCGGTATTGTGATGAATACTGGTAGGAAATTGTGAGCAAATGTATGATACATTGTTAATATTTGTGTTTTTAAAAAGCATGGATAGTTGCAAAGATATTTCGTATAATCATACTGATTTGTGCATGGATAGATAATGATGAAGATAATACAGAAGATGAGCATGTAAACTGAGCAGAAAGCCAGTGGTAAGTAGTGAAAAAATAGACGTTTCCTTTTCGAGTTGAATAGATGATAGTAGTATATAATAAGTACACGATGAATTGTGAGCCAAGACATGAGAAATGACGTAGTTGTTTGATTGACAGTATAGGAAAAGAAAATATATAATGTACAAAATGTGTCATTGTGAAAAACAACTGTTCCTTTCCAGAGAAAATAAATATGTAATGGAAGAATAACACAGATCCATAGAAGACTGCCGATAAGTAAAGCAATTAGAACATGATTTGCTAGTTGAAGTCTCATTATTCGTGACGAAAGAAAGTGATGGAGAACTAACAGTCCGCAGAGTATTGATGGGATCGATACAACGGTTAGTATAGCGGCAAACGCTGGATTCGTCGAGATAATGGCAAGACTACTAGCACTGGTTGACATACTCATTTTTTATTGTGTAACAAATGTTCAATAAGTCATCATCTTCTTCTTCTTCTCCTTCGTAGATTTGAGAATAAATATGTTTTTTAATAAGTTAATAAAGCATTAAGACGGAAAGAAAAAAAAAAGTAACCGCCCATGTCTTCTCTTTTTTTTCATATTCTTGTCAACATTATTTTCCACCTATTGGAATATATATTTGAGAAGATGTTTGTACGCTACTGGCAAGACTAGAGCATATCCTGTAGATGTTAATTAGAATAATGAGTTACAGCTCTTCTCTACGTCAGATTTTTCATCAATTAATCTTCTGTCATTAATCCCTTCGGCTTGTCAGAGTCCATCACGATGATGAAATAAATTTTTCTTTCTGCTAGCTGTAAGTAGAAAAATGATGAAAAGAAATAGAACATCGTCATTCTGTTGATCTTTTCTAGCTAATATTTTACAATACGTAAAATATGTCCTACATAACTTAGATTGAACAAACAAACCATACTGTTTCGTTCCGTTACTCCATGAATGAAGTTTTTTCTGAATAAAATTCTTAAAAAACAATAATTACTTACGTGAAAAATACCTTAGTCGTCTAGAGCACAACAGCACAGTTTTTATTAGTCTATGATAGATTTTATTGGCCTTCGATTCAGATAATTTATATCATGGATATCACCAATGAACATTTTAAAGATCTTGATTCAATATCTTATTTTCTAATGTTTATGTTATGAATAAAAACATTTATTATAATAATGAGAAAAGCTTATAAATTAAAAAATTATATCGAATTTATATGAATTGATTGAACAATTTTCAACTTTCAGTTTAATAAAAATGACTATCTATAAATTATCTAAAAGTTAGAACAATAATACTATTTAGAAATCTAAGATTCTATTCTATTCTGAAGAGAGTACATTAAACGAAGAATTTATATAATTCAAAAGTTTTATGAATATCGAAATTTAACTTTAGGAAGATAGTAGCTTTTGAATTTACGTAATTGACGTCGATGTAGTAATCTTCTTACTAAAGGAAAACACATATACAATGAAAAAAAGCAAGTTAGCTGCTATTTTCACTCTGAATACTTCGTAAAACTAGAAAATCCTATACTAAATGTGTGAAAAAAAAGAGCAGCCATGACAACAGCTATACAAACATCTATTTTCTCTAAAACTAGTAGTTTTAAAATAAATCAACAGAAATAAATTTTTTCTGACTGGAAATATAAATAATAGTTGAGCTTGTATAGTTTCTCACTCAAAAACATCGTTGATGAATAGAATAGCGAGTCTCATTCGATTCAGTGTGGGTTTATAGGTCGTTCTTCTCTCATGCTCTTATTGTTCGATATGAGATAGGTACTTTGCTAATCAATGAGTTGTTTTCTTTTATTTCATCAAAATATTAGTTCAATGACGAAATATTAATCCGAATAATAATAATCGCTATAATCACAGGAATCATCTTTTCGTCAAAAACCCAAATCTGCTATCCATTAATCGAAAAGAACTCTCTAGCCTTCTCGAGATCTTGTTTCCCCAAATAAACAGGTAATTAAGTGTCTATATGCAGAAATGTAGATAAGCTAGAGTAAAACGAGGAGAAAAAATACATTACTTTGTTATTTTGCAAAGCAAAAGCTAATTGCTCTGCTCCCATATGTGTAATTTGATTCGATTCTAGATTGAGTTCGGTAATTGTCTATAAGAGAAATGAAACCTGGATATAAATAAAATAAATCAGGAAAATAAACCACTTTATTTATTTTTAATATCTCGGCCAAATATTGTATTCCCATATCTCCAATCTGATTTGAACTAAGGTCCAAATAAATCAATGTCTGTATGAGAAAATAGAATCTATATGAAAGAAATAAGAACAGATATTTTATTACTTGATTATTTTTTAATGCATTAGCAAGATACTGTATTTCTTTATCCCCAATATGCTGCCCTGAAAGGTTTAAATGAGTGAGTGTCTGTGTGAAAAATAAAGATACAGATATAAGACCATATTTAGAAAAAATTATATCACTATGTCGTTCTGTAATCGAATCGATGCTCCGAAAACTGCACCATAAGAACTTTTATTATTAGATAAATCAAGTTGTATAAGTGTCTATGTAAACAAATAAATATTAATCATATAGAAAAATCTATTACTTTATTGTTTTGTAAGGCATCAACTAAATATTGTACTCCGATATCATCGATTTGATTTGTTTCTTTAGACCAATTACTGAGTATCAGTCTGGTTAATGTCTATATATAAAATAGTTAAAATAAATAAGAATGAAAAGTTCCATGTTAATTGATTATACTGTATTGTCACGTAATACATCAGCGAAATATTGTGCTCCACTATTTCCAATTCCATTTTGCGAAAGATTGATTGCAGCGATTGTCTGTGTTAAAATAAAATTACAAATACTGATAAAATGAATCTAGAAAATATTTTACTGTATTATATTTTAATATATCAGCTAAATATTGTGCTCCATCATCTCCAATTTGATTGTGTGAAAGATCTAATTCGGTTATTGTCTATATCGAAATAAAAAATAAAATAAGTTACAAAAAAAAACATTACTTCGTTAATTCGTAGCAAATCAGCTAAATATTTTGCTCCAATATCTCCAATCTGATTTGATCCAAGACATAGTTTAGCTAGCATCTGAATGAAATAAAAACATGTTCATAAATCAAATCAATGAGTAAAATATATCACTTTATTATTGAATAATACATTAGTTAAATATTGTATTCCAATATCTCCAATTTTATTTCTCGATAGATTCAGTTTAGTGATTGTCTATATGTGAAAATTCTTTCGAAGCTAACAGAGAAGTATAGAAAGTATGTTACTTCGTTGTTACGCAGTGCATCAGCTAACAATTTTGTTCCATTGTCATCAATAGTGTCCGAAGAAAACCACATTTCGGAATTTTTCTGAAAAAAGGAAATATTCATGATAAAGAAGTGAAGAGTAGTATATCACTTTATCATTGCGTATTTTAACTGCTGCACCAACTGCGTTACAATAAGAACTAATATTTCCTTTGAGGTCTAACTGCGTAAGTGTCTATATGAAATTTTGAAGAAATATAAAATTGATGAAAATGTTTAAATCTCACTTTATTGTCTTTGAGAGCATCATAAAGATATTGTGCTCCAACATCTCCGATCTTATTTTTTGAGAGATCAAGTTCAACGATTGTCTACATGAAGATAAAAACAAAATTCCTACAGAGATAAATCGAAAAAATTGATTACTTCGTTGCCGAGTAATGTATCAGCTAAATATTTTATTTGATTGTCATCAATATTCTTTGATTGAAGATTCAGTTTTGTAAGTGTCTAAATAAAAAATAGAAGATATATCAAATATAAAATATAATAAAGTTAATTACTTTGTCGTTTCGTATTTGAATAACTGCACTAACAACTGCACAATTATTACCAAGATTACCTTCTAATTGCAATTTCATTAGTGTCTATATAAAAAGAAATAAAATTATTTCAAAAGAAAAATCTTATTAAAACTTCACTTTGCTATTTCGTCCAGCATCATTTAGATATTGTATACCATTATCTCCTATCTCATTTAATTCAAGATTGAGAGTACTCAGTGTCTATACAAAGAAATGAAAACTAAACGATCCTATACGTAAAAAATATTACTTGATTTTTCTGTAAAGCATCAGCAAAATATTGTGCACCAATATCTCCGATTTGATTCCCAGAAACATCCAGCACAATTAATGTCTAATCAGAAAACAATACAATTAAAAATAAATGTTATGAATATTTCACTTGATTTTGTTTTAATGCATAAGCTAAATGTTGTGCTCCGATATCTCCGATTTGATTCTCTTTACATTGATTTGAAAGTACCAATGTTTTAAGAGACTACATAATAGAATATGAATATTTTCTATAATGAATAAGGTAATTATAAAGTTACCGTATTCTTTTTTAACACATTCGCTAGATATACTGTGCCAATATCACCGATTCGGTTACATGTTAAATCTAATGTAGTCAGCGTCTATTAAATAAACAAGCGATCAACAGAAAAGCTAAGTAATTGTGACAATTGCTCTACTGTGTTCATTTCTAATGCATTAGCAAAATATTCTGCTCCTTTATCTCCAATTTGGTTTCTATAATCGAGATAACGTTCCTCCCAGTCGTAAGTTTTTTCTTCTCGACGTTTTCTCCGGCGATACTCGTTTTGCTCGTCAATAATTCCCAGTATCAACGAAGTAAGAGTCTACAGAATAAAAAAAAAGAAAATGAATGATAAAAAGGGGTGATCCAAAAATGACTATTTTTAACGCACGCTAGAAATGCCATAATACGAAAGTCCTTGTCACCTAGATCACGAATCTGACATCCGTTTGTCTAGATCTGATCCCTTTTTTGTCGGTTTTTCCTGTAAGGGATATCTAGGTCTCTGCAGGGTAGTTCCATGGGGCGTCAAATACAAGTACACAAAGTATTCAGGAAATTTTCTTCTTTCCCCAACTTTGTAGAGTTTTTTTCGCTGATTATTTTCGTATAAGGAAGTTTGGATTTCTATTGAGAAATGACGACGCTATTATCAAAATATAAAACATAGTGAAATACGGTAAAATAGTTTAAATCCCATTTTTTTCTTATAAAATATAGAAAAAATTCGAGTCTCTAATCTCGAACCGGCTGTATTCTCAAGAAATATGACATAGTAGGTCTTGTAGAGAAAACTGTGCTCTTTAAAATCTACTATATCATATTTCTTGAAAATGTAGTCGGTTCGAGATTAGAAACTCGACTTTTTCCTATATTTTGTAAGGAAAAAAATGGGATTTTAAGCTATTTTACTATGTTTCTTATTTTGACGATAGTGTCGTTATTTCTCAATAGAATTCAAAACTTCTTGATACGAAAATGATCAGCAGAAGAAGCTGTACAAGATTTGAGAGAAAAGAAAATTTTCTCAGAAAAATTTCTGAATACTTTGTTTGACATCCCATAAAACTACCCTATACTAGACTCAGATACTCCCCAATGGAAATTGGTAAAAAAAAGGATCAGATCTAGACAAACGGATGTCAGATTCGTGATCTAGGTGACAAGGACTTTCGTAATATGACATTTTTAGAGTGCGTTAAAAATAGTCATTTTGGATCACCCCCATATATTACTTTATTATTTTGCAATGCATCAGCTAAATATTGTGCTCCTTTGTCTCCAATTTCATTTTCCGACAGATTTAATTCTATGATCGTCTATTCATGAAAACGAAAGCATAATTAACGATAGAAAAACTTAAGAAAATCTATCACTTCATTATTCGATAATGCATCTGTCAAGAATTTTATTCCATTATCATCGATATTTTGCGATTGAAGATTAATACTAGATATTTTCTAGAGAAAAAAGATAAGATCTATGAGAGACACTTTAGAAATAAATTACTTTATCATTTCGTAGTTGAACTGCTGCGCTAATATATTTATAATAGGTATTATTATTATTTCTTTCGAATTCTAATTTCATAAGTGTTTATATTAAACGATAATGTTATTTTATAGAGATCATAAGTGTTGAAATCCTACTTTGTTTTTCCTGAGAGCATTGTCAAGATACTGTGCTCCATCATTTCCGATTTCATTGCTTGAAAGATCTAATGTTTTCAGTGTCTATGGAGTAAACAGAAAACGAATATGAGTATAATAATCGATCCAGATATATTAGTTTGCTATCTTTTGACGTATCAGTCAGATTTTATTCTTGTTATTAATGAAGTAAAAAGAAAGTAAATGTAAGAAAAATCTATTACTTTATTGTTTTGCAATGCATCAGCTAAATATTGTGCCCCCTTGTCTCCAATTTTATTCATCGTCAAATCTAGTACTTCGATTGTCTACTCATGAAAACGAAAATATAATTCATAATAAAACAAGTTAAGAAAGTCTATCACTTCATTGTTGAATAATGCATCTGCTAGTAATTTTGTGCCGTTGTCGCCAATACCTTTCCAACGAAGATTGATTACAGTGATTGTCTACAGAAAGAACTAAAGTTTATGACGGAAAAAAAGAAAAATATATAACTTTATTTTTTTGTATTTGAATTGCTGCAGTAACTGCTATGCAATAAGGGTCAGAATTGTCTTTGAGCTCTAAATCCACGAGTGTCTATGTTATATTACAGTGACGTTCCCAATTTGATCAGAAGGATTGATATCCTACTTTGTTTCCTCCGAGAACATCGTAAAGATATTGTGCTCCATCATTTCCAATTTTATTATTCGAGAGGTCCAATATAGTGAGAGTCTGTATAAAATACAAAATATGAATATAATTCTGATAAGCTTGAAAATTTTTTTACTTGATGATCTCGTAATGCATCAGCTAACTGTCGTGCTCCATTGTCTTCAATTTTATTGTTTGAAAGATTAAGTGTAGTCATTGTCTATATACAGAGTAATAGCAAATAAAAATATAAAAAAATTTGAAAAAGATATTACTTGGTAATGTTGTAGTGCTACAGCTATGTATAGTACCATATCGTCTCTGATTCGATTGTTGGAAAGATTCAATCTGGAATCCGTCTTTATGAAAATATAAAAATTAGCAGATATGAATAATTTCACTGCTAAATAATATAAATAGTAGTAGAAACAAATATAATATTAAGTCAAATAAAGAATGATTCAATTTTAATCTTATTTTTGTGTTATCACTCTAGTTTTAATAAAATCAACAAAACTATCGATTGTAATGACACCTTTAATGAGAAATACTGTTTTTTAATTTTATACAATCCTGAATGAAACTCTTGAGCGAATAAATGAGAATAAGTTTACACAAATAAAAGAACTAGCTGCAGTTATAATATCTGTACAAAAAATATGATTAAAAAAAGTTCGAAGATTTAGGAAAGACATCCATTTCCTGGGTTTAGAAGTTTTATGACAATTCTTATATAAGAAAATCATACTATGCTTACATTTGCTTCAGCATCATTGGACATATTTTCTCTCGAAGGCACAAGCAAGCAGTGTATAGACCCCGTAGATGATCCTGTTAATGTAACATTTCCCATTTCATGATTAGCGCTGTTGTTTGGTATGGTATAGAGTCTAATTTTTGATTGCGGTAGAATATAATCGGTAGTAACATACCAGTGTTTAGTATCGAGCCAAAACGAAGTTTGAAATGGCAAAATAAGTGAGGTAATACCAGTGCAACTTTCGCACTCTTTATCAGTATAGGTAAATAAAAATTCAAATTTATTCAATAGTGGTAATTTCATTGAGATAAGTTGTTCCCAATAATTACCATCGAATATTGAATCAAATTGAGATCTACGTGAAACCATTTTCAGGTAAACAAGTGATGGTGTCAACGAAAGAAGAAATTCGAGCTGTGCGATACCTAGTCGACAGTCGCCAATAGTCAATGAAGTCAATTGTGGATATAATGCTAAATTAAAATGTAAGATGATAAACATGAGTATGAATTAGAATTTTTTTAATGAAACTATCAAGTGGATGAAATGTTGAAAAAAGAAAGCCATAGAAACATACTAGCATTCATTACAAAACTCACTTTGGAGTCTTTTCAAGATTGGACATATAACAGGCAACGGTATTTATTAATCTTAACCAAGTTGTTAAAATGACTAATCTACGGGATTTCTGATCTGCTCTAGAGACTTATAGGACACATTATCTTCGTAACCTGTAAAAGGAATTCTCTTCTGTTAAACTCGATTTCTATTAACATTTCAAATAAAGAATAATAAAAAGTATCACTATCAGGAAATAAATGAGATGTATACTGAATTTTCTGTACCTGTGTAATCAGTGGTTATACGTTGTCTCTTTGCAGAGTGATATATATTAGATGAAGATGGAAAAACAGTTTGATTCATATCATTCATATCACAATCATTCATTACGAATATTCTTAAATTAGATGAATTACTAAGAATAACACAATATGTTCGATAAGTACAATCTCGAATTGTTAATTGTACTAATGTGGACTGAACTGGCCACGTTATTCTATCATTCATATAATTGAAATTATTTAAATATAATTTTTGCAGCTTGAATTGAATGACTGTTGAAAAAATAGTTGAAAGTACTGTATCGTATACTCTCAAATATGATTCGATTGTAAGTGAGACTAGGGGATTGACGGTAATATGCTGTAAAATTTCATTCAAATGAGTGTCGTACATTTTATAAAGAGATAATGAACGAAGCTTAGCGAATTGATTAATGTTTAAACGTGAAAGAAATAATTTGATGTATTCTTTTTCGGAATAATTCACGAACAACTTTAGCGAAACAACGTTTAAGGGATCAACAACACCAGAAATATATTTTAAATAAGACTTTTCTTTTGAATTAAACGTGAGTTCCAAATGATTATAGCTGCTTACAGATGCACGAAGTTGTTTGCAAACTTGTCGAATTGAAAGAAGAATAGTTTGCGCATCGAGATGATTAAAAATACAATGATGAAGTTCAACAAGAAGACTAAGAAGAGATGTGTCTGACATCACTTTATAAGCTTAAAAATAATTAAATAAATATCACACTTAAATGACCACTTCTTCGTTTGAGTGTGGTATGTCGTGATTATCTATCTGGAAAAAACAAATACATAAAATATGATATTTTAATGATTTAAACAAAATTGAACTTCTTTTAAATATCATACCGAACCATTTTTTAAGTGTGAAGTAAAATAAAACCGATGGAAAGAAAAACAACCCACAAACTAATCTTTTATCTACAGTATACACGTTCTTCAGATAAAGTGTTAATAGATATTGTCAACAGAACGGCCAACACGCTTCTAACAACAAAATTCTTACTTTTATAGAAGAAAACTGTAAGGTAGAATATATTTTTTGAGGGTATGGGTGTATTATATTTATCTTATACTCACGCTCACACCCACACCTATCCTCACACACATATCCATCAGTTTGGATGGACGTCTTTTTGTAAATGACTATGCTAACAAATGCATACTTTGTGCGATTCATGATGATGTTCAAAAAAATATGAAGATACTTAGGCTTTTTGATAGCAATTATATAAGATGTACAATATAAATAGATATGAAAACGTATTTTATGTGCATCTTTTTGCTCAATATCATCAAACGACAAAACAACTATATAATTGTTTCCAGAAGAGGAAAACGAACATACAACTGGATGTTAATTTTCATGTGTTTATTTTTTTTCTTCAAATAAACGTTTATATTCTATAGAAGAAATTGAAGTTGTTTTCCATATGTTTAGATATTTTTTCAAAAAAACCGTTTTATTCATTAATTAAAAATAAAAAAAGCAACGTGACTTGTGTTCATGTATATAGAATATATACAATACTCGTCGTATATCGAAATAATATCATTCTCGCCAGTATCGTTTGCCTATAATTACGCGTCTAATGCTTTTATCTAGTCTTTCATTTATTTTAGATGTAGAGATAATTTAATTTTTATATAATTAGACAAGATTTTTTATCTATTGTTTTTTCATATTGAATATTCTATCATATTTTATCTTGCTTCTACGACTTATGTTATTTTTTATGTTAATCTTATTACTGTTACATGATCAAAAACCAGATTATATCAATAAATTAAAAACTAAAACAAATATAGTTGTATATGAATTGAACCAATAGAGTACTCAAATACTTAGCAGTTTTACATAAGTACTTGCTAGTAGTACTCGAACACTTAACGTTCACGACAAATACATCATAAGTACTCATAAGTTCTCGTGACATTTTCTAGTGTGAGTACTTTTTTGAGTACTTCTGTATGAGTTCTTTGACTAAAGTAATTAAATGCGCAACCTTTTAAAATTTATTCTGTGGTAAAGAAATAATTAAAAGTAATATTCACTTCTTTAATGCGCCGCGGACATTTTTATGTTTCATTTTCTATCTCTCTCCTTCTTTCTTTATTAATGGTAGATACTAATTAGCGAGATTATTTAATCGCATGTCTTTCATGATGATGAAGAATAATAATTTCATCGTTCCTTTTATTTCCAGATAATCGACTTCTTACTAGCAAATATTCTTTCCTCTGTAGACAAACATTTTTTATTCTGAAAGAATAATCTTAACTTTGTAAGTAAGAATGTCGACGTCATTTGTTGTTATCGGAAAACAAGTAACCAAATATGTGGGAATACCAATCTTTGTCAGTGGTGTCATAGGAGGACTTTTGAATCTTGCTGTGTTTTTCAGTCTTCGTACATTTCGACAAAGTTCCTGTGCATTTTATTTAACTATTATGTCTTTTGTCAATATTGGTCAATTATTTAGTGGATTTCTTCCATTACGTATTATAAACTCTTTATTGAATGTTGATGGGACAGAAACATCATTATTCTTTTGTAAATTTCAAATATATCTTTCTCAATTATGTATAGGAGCTTCATTTACATGTTTTTGTCTAGCAATTATTGATCAATATTTAGCTACTTGTGCTCATCCTCGTTGGCTACAATTATGTAATATCAAACTAGCTCATCGTCTCATAATCATATGTATTCTTTTTTGGATGTTGCATGGAATCTTACCTTTAATCTTTTATAATCATATTCAATCGCCTATTACTAACAAAACCAGTTGTACTATTACAAATTCAATATTTAATTATTATCGCAATTATTTCTTTATTCCTGTACTAATTGGATATCTACCTATTATCACTGCAGGTTTGTTTGGAGTGTTGGCTTATCGTAATATACAACAAATATCTTATCGTACTATTCCGGTTGTTCGACGCGAATTAGATAAGCAATTAACTACTATGGTTTTACTACAGGTTTTTATCAATATTTTTATTTTATTACCATATACAACTGTAGTTGCTGTTGCGACAAATACAAGTCTTATTAGTGATCCAATTATACAAGCAAAACTTCAGTTCACCATCACTATTGTTGTCGTTATTTATAACATATATTTTTCCGTAAGTAATAACTAAATTTCAACAAATTATTGTTATAATTATCTCATTTTAGAGTTCTTTTTATATTTATATTTGTGCATCCAAGCGTTTTCGTAAACAATTTCTTCATGTGATGTACATGATTTATTCGAATCAATGGAAACAACTAAGACCAGGTGACAATCAAGTGATGCCAGAAATATAAATCTTATCTACAAAAAATTTTCTTTTTCTTAATATCATGCTTGATGTAAAAAGTATTAAACTACATAAACACATATCATTTTGATTGTGAAGAATGACTATATTTATATTGTTCGTATCAAACCAAATAAAAATAATCTCATTTTAATCTGTACTTCGACGAATTTTCTAAATATATTGAATTCTGTCACAAAAAAAGTATTGTTTCTTCCTTCGAAATATGTCTTTCTATGTTGCTCATTTTTTTCGGATTAAATAGACTAATAGATATGTAATATCGACGAAAAAAGAATGCCATTTGAGACAAACAAAAACACAGTTAAAGTAAAATCATTATTTTTTCTTATCGAATATTATTCGTGCTGCATTACAGCTGTATTTAGACAGCAAATTCCCAAGATAGTTGCATTATTGACTGAATATAATCGAAAATAAAAATAAAGTATTTCTATCTTTAGAGTCTCACTTATCTATGTATGATTAACTTGAAATTTTTTTTTGTCTTGCTTAAAATTCTAGCTGTATTTAGCTAATAAGAATTTACGATAGTTATTCCTCAAATATTTTTTCTCCTAGATCACTTGATCGCACCTACGAGCAATCAAAAGACCTTGCCGTCTTTCGTCAAGTAATTCCGTTGATAGATACTTTATCAATTTCGTTCGAATACATATAAGTTGAAGAAAATGGGTGATCTTTTCTAAACAGTTAATATTTATTTTCTATCTAGCAGGACATTTTCAAGACGACCTTTTAAAAGATTTGTTTGTTTTTATTCAATACATCTCTTACAAATTGTATGTATGACCGCTGAAAAACTCACCTTTCTATTTTTGTATAACGTAGAATATAGTAGAATGTCCTGTTTAGAAATTGTTTAAACCTACTTACAACTTTTCTGCCAATCTTAGTAGTGACTGGCAATAGATTATTGGTCGACTATTTCTATGTCGCAATGCAATGGTCAAAGGATTTTTGATCTTCCATTACGTCGACTACCATCGACACGGAATGGAATCACTTTTATTTGGCTCGAAAATTCATCTTTATCATCAGCATTATTGAAGAAAAATTATGAAACCATCGAGTATCTACGCAGCCTCAACAACTACTTTATTGTTCATTATACAACCTTATCAAAGTGCATGAAATACTTAAAACACGCACGATTTTATGAACGCATCGTTATTATTGTTGTTATTAGTCATGATGAAGAAGAAACATTCATAACAACTGAAAATGTTTCTCGATTGTATCAATATCGACAAATACAAATGATGATCACTATTTCTTTTACTAATATAAAAGATGATCACATTAATATTATTTTATCAATAAATACTCAAGATAACGCTAGTAAGGAAATTCAAAAATTCCAAGATTATCAATCATTGATTGTTCAGTTACAGCAGTTGATGGATGAAGCCGAAGATTTCGATGATGGATTGTTCGCTGTATTTAATCAACGAGAGAAAGCATTACGAGATGTTCGCCAGGAGCTTGGTGCATTCGTATGGGGTCAATCCTACAGAGGTCAGTTTATTTATCCGCCTAAAAGTTCACAAAATACTTAAAGCTAAAATCAGAGAGTATTGATATGAAAAAGTCAACTAAATTATATCAAAGAGTATCATCGAGGCAAATCGTACCAAAAAAATACACACTAGAGGGTAGAGGGCTGGGGCTGGGTGTTGTACCCCTTTAACACCCACATCCTCAAGATTTTTTTGGCAGTCCCAAGGATATTCGTATCAACCGTCAACATAGATAAAATTTCGTAAGATGTCTTGAATTATTTTGGTAAAACTTGCGATGCCAATTTTTGAAACGATATAGAGACAAAATATATGTTATGTGTAAGGAAAAGAGTAGTACTATTTTCTATTTTAAATATGTCATAGTTGTTCTCATGACGATGCCTCATCATTCAAAGGAAGCCAAGCAAGAGATGCTCGCCGAATTTCGTGCATATTATCAACATAATCATCATGAATTGCTTGCAATTGACGATTTTGAACGTACCTATCGCTCGGGAGATGCTATTCGTTGGTATACAAAGCCTTGCTTTCTTTTTCGTCTTATTAACAAAGCACTACGTACAGAAGACATTTGTGCTTTTTACACTTTTCGTTATTTTATTATTGATCTGTGCACACAGTTAGAAGAAGCGGTCGGTAAAACTGCTTCTTGTGCAAAAATATTTCGTGTCTATCGTGGATCAAGACTTAGTCGAGATGAGGTCGAACAATTGCAAGTTGGTATGCTGGTGACTGCAAATGGATTTCTTTCTTCATCACGAGATTTGAATGTTGCCCAGCAGTTCATCAGTATTGATCCAGTTACGGGCTTATCGCCTAGTCGAAGTCGCATGGACAAACGACAATATGTTCTATTCGAGATTGACGTCGATTTGATACATTCACCTTATACGACGGCAGTCGATGTAACTAGACATAGTACTATGCCACATGAAGACGAGGTCATTTTTAATTTGGGCACTACCTTCACTATCACTGACATTAATTATGATACTGAACACTATTTATGGCATATTCAAATACTCTCATCATCAGAAGTTGCTGAACTCAGCCGAGCCTATAATATGTTTGTTCGCAAACGTCTAAATGAGGTCAATGGCATACTAATGTGTGGTCATTATTTGACTGAAATATATAGTAATTATACTGAGGCTATGCGTTACTTTCATCATCTGTTACGTTCAAAGACTGTAGATGATAATGATCGACCCGCTATCTACTATCATTTGGGACGCGCTTATCGTTTTATGGGTAAATATCAACAAGCGATAACATATTTTAAATGTGCTCAACTATTTCAACGGCGTAAATTACCACAATCAAGCTTCGACTATGGTCGTACATTAAGGGGCCTCAGTAATGTGTATTCGGACATGGAAGACACAACACGAGCACTATATTTCGAAGAAAAAGCAATTGCTATCCATCGTAAATGTTTGCCAGACGATCATATCGAAATATCTTTCCATTTAAATCGACTTGCCTTTATTCATTGGCAACAAAAGCAATATGAACGTGCACTTATTTTCGTTGAGAACGCATTATTATATTTTAAACAAAAGATGCCAACCGATTATCCAGCAGAGGCACGATCACTACATGTAATGGGCTTGATACAACATTCACTGGGTAATCGACAGCAAGCTCTTGATTTTTTCAAAAAAGCGTTGCACATGCGAGAATCACTACTAGCTGATGATCACCCATTCGTTGCTCAGACATGCCACGAGCTGAGTATCTTGTGTGCTGAACAGGATGATGAATACGCAATGGCACTCGAATATGCACAAAGAGCGCTAAATATTCGTAAGAAAAAGCTATCGCCGAATCATATTGATGTCAAACGATCAATCGAACTTTTCGAGCGGCTATCACAACGCCATGATGCTACTTAGTGTCAGCGAAATGATTATTAAATTATCGATGTATGTTAATATTTGTGATTGTAAATATATGTATATATTAACTACAGACAATAATCGACAGATAAATATTGTACAGGATGCGTGTGTGAGTTTGATTTTGAATAAAACTTCTGAGAAGATGCACCCACACCCATCCATTATGTCGAACAAACTAAGTGTGGCTGTGTGAATAACATTCATCCACATCCGCTCTTTTATTCAACTAAAGGACGATAATTATGATTACAGACAAAAAAAACACCTCAAGTTTCATTGATCAAACTCGATGGTAACACCAATATGTTTCGGCATTATTGTGATTCGTGAAAAATGCCCACCTGCATTCACTTTAGAACCACCATCACCAAATGTCACATATTGCATTAACCGTGCTGCAATTACTTTCAATTCAAATCGAGCTAGATCTTGGCCCACACACTGGCGATGCCCACTCCCGAATGGGATCAGAGCATATGGATGATGGTCTTTGTCCACATGCAGAAATCTCTCTGGACAAAAGAGTTCAGGATCGATTGACCACTGTCGAGTATCTCTTGCAAGAGTATGAAAAGGAATAAGCACTGAATCACCTTTGAATAGTTGAACACCACTCTGTGGTAAACGATCATCGGTTGTCAGTGTTCGAAGCGTGCCATTGATCAGTGGACAAAAACGAAGTACTTCGTTAACAACACAATCCAAATAAACTAACGAATCGAGACGTTCGACAGACCAAACTTGTTTTTCACTATCATTCATCAGTTCTGCTTTGATCTTTTGTTGTACTTGTGGATGTTTACTCATCAGATATATAAACCAGGCTAGAGCAGTCGATGTTGTCTCATAACCAGCTACGAGAAAAAGAAGCATCTCATGCAACAGTTCACACCTTGACAGACCTTTAAACAGATAAAAATCATCAATCATAAATTATATCTAATGAATAAACAGTAAAGTATCATCTAAAAACTCATACGTAAAGAGATAATCTTACCTTTTTTTTCTTCTTCACTTTTCATTGCCTCTGCTTTTTCATCTTTTTGAAGTGAAGCAACAAGTGAAGCGATCAAACACGTTCTCTTTCGTTGTGATATTGATTCTGGACTTTCGGATAACTCTTGTTCAATCATTCGGCAAAGATATCGTTCAATAATGGTTTTTGCTCGTCGATGTCGATGATTTAATTTCAGGTAGATACTAGATAAAACACGTGGTAAATAGATTATCATTTGAAATGTGCTTAAAAAGTCTTGAAGTGCTTGAGACAGTTCATTGTTTTCCGTGCTATCATTTCTATCGAATATCTCTAAGTCATAATCGAATGCAATAAATCCGAAAATAGCGAGTAGAAGATTTTGACATTGCTGTACAATATCGAGATGTACGATGTGAGTGGGAGTACTATGCCACTTCGCCAATAGTTTATCTACACAATCGATAATTAAATCTAGATTGGAGATGATCTTAGCACGACGAAACAAGAGTAAGGTGACTGATGCATGTCGCTTATACTTGGCGCCTTTATTGCAAATAAGTGCGTCAGGAAAGATTACACTAAACTTTTGGACAAACAAATCACCTTGATCATAAATATGTCGATGAGTAAAAATGTGCTGAACATCGCCAATTTTACTAACTACGATGTATCGCCAAGGACCGAGCCAAATTTGAAAGATATCACCAAACCGTTCTCTAAGAGCTAAGCACATTTCATGAAGAGAGGCACCACGCAACAGAAGACGTGTTTGAATTAAACTTCCCAAGATAAAGTGAGGTGGCACACTAGGTAGAGTGTTATGATTGGTAAAATATTTATATTTCATATAACACATCAGCAAAGTAACGGTGACAAAAAGTAGGATGAAAAGCATGATATACTCCTCATAAATGAAAGGTAGTCGTCACAATAAGAATGAAAAATATCAGGTAGAAAAAAATGACATATACATGCTGGTTTGTTTTCTCTCCTTGTGCACTCTTTTATCCTATGCGCAACAGCGATAACAGCATACAAGATATGATAAATTTGCATGATGTAGGAGTAGTTTAAAATATGAAAAACACACCCACACCCTCAAGAATAAAAAATAACAGTTCTTATTGGAAAGTTTCATATGAATATTATGCCAAAGGAAGAGCGTGTTGGATTGTTACTGTTTTTCGAAATATGAGTGTAAATAAATAGTCTTTTAAGATGAATCGTTTCTTCCATATAACTAATAATAATGTTACAGCACTTATGACTGCAAAGGTCATAAATAAACCAGCCATCGATTCAATATCCATAGCAGTGGATGTATCAGATGAAACGGGACAACTCTTTGTTTGAAACCATTTTAATTTCAAATCATCAAGTACACCTGACTCGGTTAATGATAATATAGCTACATCTAAATCTTGTGTATATAACCAATCTTTAGGAATAACAATACCGAATGAACTTTTATCAAAATCTGCACCAACCAAAGTTAAATTACAAAATATATTGTTAGTATCATATTCTGCAACACCAATATCTGAAAGGGCTGCATCAATTAAACCACTCAGTAGACTTTCATATAAGTCTGCTTGATTTTCTAATGGATAAAAATTACGACTACCACCGGAAATTTCTCTTAAATAAAAATCTTCTATAGCTGAGTCTACAATAATACCAATACGATTAAATGATAATTTTCCATTTTTAATATCATCAATTCCAGTAATAATATCCTTAGATTTTGATATTGTTAGATCTGATGTTAAATTCGCAGTGTATGTTGCCACTAATACTAAACTCAATATATATAAGCCAACAGTTAAAAAGCGACCGGGAGCTGTTTTAGCATAAAAATCTGCACCATACCCGAAAATTGCACCAGTAGTATACCACATACACATTGCACCAGAAGAAATGATTGATCTCTTTTGTAATGCTTCATTAGCTTGTCGCTCTGATAGGCACATTAAGGTAGCAGCATAGATACTAGTTATTAGAAGAACTAACCAAAGTTTAAGTGAGAATGGTTGCAAGTATGAAAATAAATCTACAGAAGTTGGTTCAGTTTTTCGCATAACAATACGTAAAGAATTATCAAATATAGAATCAGTAAAATCGACTATTTGTCTTCGAGCAGAAGTAACCGTAACATCAGCTATTACTATATCATAAATGTTATTTTCGACTGCTTGAATTAATCCTGAATAGGTCTGATTTGATGGTGTTAATATAATCTGAGGAGTAAATCCCATTTGACTTTGTAAAATATTAATAAGATCTGGTACAAAACCAGTTAATTCTGTTTTATTCTTTCCATATGTATCTATGACATTTTGCACCATTGTAAATCGACTTGATTCAATAATACCAATTCGTAAAGTTACACCTGAAAGTATAGCATGATCAATAGGAGGTATCAATGTATTACCAGGCCATATAATTACACTTTCTGTAGATACTTCCCATTCATTAGATTGAGACCATTCTAAAACCGACATATAATTTATACCATTGCCGGAAGGCTGTACGTTTTGTGCCAAATAGTATGTACCATTTGTTCTATCTGTTGTATTGGCACTAAATTGTATAGGACCAGAAACACCAAGAAATATTGTATTCGTAATCTTATCGAAAAGAGAATTAGAATTAATAAGACGACGATCAAAACAGTATGGAGAACCGATAAATGATATACATGAAGTAGAGCTATTCATTGATGTTGAACAAAATTCTTGTAATGATTGAATTAACATCCAAGTTGCATCAAATGCAAAATATGCATAGTAATTTACGTTCATCGGTCCAGGAAATGATTCAGGCTCATATTGTTGCCAAATACTATATGCTGTATTTAACAATGTTATATTGATTGGTGCATTGACAACACTTCCAATGACAGGTTCAATAATAAACATTCCAATTAACTTATCATTGAATGTCTGATTAAAAGACTGCAACGGAACACTTGAACTTAGTATCCATGTGAATTGTGGACCAAGTACATCAGAATCTAATGCATTTTGTAAAATTAAAGTTGTATAAATTGGATCAGTCCATAACAGTACAATTCGCGTTGAACTACTGGCTAAATAGGTTTTCAAGTTGCCACGAATACGAAGTGTTGCAATATCAAATATTATCGTGCCACTGACTTCTAAACCATTATTATTAAATACCTCGCTGATTACTTTTGCACCGCCAGATCCAAATGCATCATTTTGATAGATAACTATGCATGATGTCCAATTAAATCGAATGAATAATTTCGCGATTGCGAATGCTGCTGTATTATCTGAAGGAACTGTACGATAAAAAGCAGGATATGCATTCCGATCAGATAAATCAGGATCGGTCGCAGAATATGATATAACAGGTATACTAACTCTATTAGCAAAATCAGCAATAGTATGAGCTTCTCTTGAAAATGCAGGGCCCACAATACCCACAACGTCTGAAGTCGATACTGCCAAACAAGTACTACTAAAAGCATCCATGACATTTCCATCTGTTTGTGCTGCATTCCATCCAAAATATTGTCCTTGAATTGTTATATTATATTGCTGAGAAAGCATTATTGCTGCTTTGAACATAGCACGAGAGTGAACAGATAATGTGGTAGGTTCGGATGTGTTTGATGCGTCTGGAAAAAGACCTAAGAATTGTATACTTGAAAAATTTGACAAGGGCCAAGCTGTTTTTACATAGTGTATATTAAATAGACCGAATATAAATTGTAATATTAACCATCGAAAATTCCAAAAGTATAACATTGTTGTTTAATTATAACACAAATATGAGAATTTAAAAAGAGTGTAGAATAAAATAAAGAATGCTAAAAATATAAATATTATAACAAAGAATCTTCGCCTATAACCGCACTTCATTATGAAAAAAAAAATGACAAAGAATACTAACTAGAGTTTACACTATTCATATTTCCCTATTTGATATTTTTGAGAGTGTGTGCTGTGCTCTTATAGCAACACATACATAATGTAAATGTAATATATTTCTGTGCACAGGAAAGTGTCAAACTCAATATCTTGATGTTTGAATAACCAGGAAGTAATAGATATTTTTTTTTATTTTCAAGTTTTGTTCTGTTTTTTTAATGTAGCATTATTCTACATTGTATATTATTGATTTAATAAAAACTGAAATGTTTTTAATTATCGAATGCATTTACAATCTAAAAACAATTCTTGGTAATAGTTTTTCTTCTTTATGTGCTTCCTACATTTTTATTTAATATCAAAAAGGGTCTGTTCTTCCTGTTTTTTTCTCTTTGTAACTTCACTCTGATTCAGGAGAAAGACAAAACGAGAAAAAAAGTAACACTAAGAGTGGCATACATTTCTTTTTTCAAAAGTAACTATAAAGTGCCATCCCTAGATAAAATATAATTGACGTTTATCTTCTTGAGAGAGATATGATGTGATTAGCGATATTACCTCTCTCTCGCATACGCGAAGACTTATGCAACTAAAAGCATGAAATCGGCAAAAATCCTCTGTTTAATATATTGATTCACATTAACTGATATTGAACAACACTAACGTCTTGTTTTGCCCAAGTTATTCCAGTAGTTATATGATGTCTTTTCACGGATTAATAAGTAACATGTTTTCTTATTTGAAATTATTATTTATAAAATAAAAGACTTATCAATTTACATGCTAATATCATCTTTTTATTTTGTGTTAATGTTAAATATTTTCACTGAATAAAAAACTGCCAAATTTTGAGACTTTTCCAATAGTCAGTGAAAAAGACGAGTAAGTCAAGCAAATCATATTTGAGGATAAAGGTTAAAAGATGGTTTGTTATTCTTCTATAAAGATATCTGTAATAGTTTTCTTTCTAATTCATACTGATGAATTACTTTCTTGAGGGTGTGGGTGGATTAGAGTAAAACCGTGGATGTGTGAGTGAGGGTATGAATGTAGCACCGGTATGAGCGGCTGTGCATATTGATAAAAAACAGTCGCATCCATACTTCAAATCCTCACTCACACCCACATCCGTTTCCTCATCTGCCAAATATGTACTATCAAATCTTTCCAACTAACAACGGCTACTCCTGCTCGTACAATATAATTATTAAAAACATGCTTAAATTGTATAGGTATGGTCAAATAGCTTTTTTTATTTGAAACAAAATAAATACCATGCACAAAATATCCATATTAACAAATAGGATAAAAGAATTTTTAAAAGGAACTTAGCAACAAATGTTAATGATGGCAAGATTGTAAACATTATTTTTTGCATTTTGGAACTTCGGCCCAACAGTCATCATCGAGTATATAGCCATACTCTCCCTTAGATGTTTCAATATGATACCATATTTTTGTTTTATGTGGAAGTTTTTCGATTTTAAAGCAGTCACATGGATAGTTTTGATGCGCGCGGATATACATAAATGGTGGACAATCCATTGATGCACACGTGTGAGCAGCAGTCACTTGACCACACATAGCTTCACCACCCTAATCATATGAAAAGTAAAATATTACAGATATTGAGATATTCGATTAACACAAAACTTTACCTCGCATAGTGTCGAACCAAGAATTAGAAACATCAAAGACACGATAATAAATCGATCCATTTATAATTTGACTTGTCTGTATTGTAATAATATATTTTTATTCGTTTCGAAATAACTAATTTTATAAACTCGCGGCATCCTTTTATACAACAATGAAAGCATCGCCTTGGTAACTTAATCCGGAGATTTAAAGAAATACTTATTTTGATGTATATGAAGTAGTTAAACGAATGAAATTGATATTATTGTTAAAAAAGAAAAAACAATTATTGATATAGTTTCTTAATCTTTTTCGAGATTGATTTTTTTCTTAGTATTCTCTTCAAGAGTGTGATTATTTCGTTTTGTTGTCTTTTTAGTTCGAGACGAGATTTTTATTTTTTTTGTAATAATTGATATTGATGGTTCAGAATTCGTTTTATCTAAAATAGCGAAAAAAAAGTGCTCATATCGATCGAAAGAATCAGTAAGTGAGCAAAAATATATTAGAATTCACATCTTTCTTTCTTATTATTGATAAAACTTCTAACAGCAATGACTTTTGAAGCCTTTATTATTACAAAATGATTTGATTTCTCCTACATCGTGTATGTGAAAAAAGATATTCACATCCACGCTCTTCTCCCAATACACGTGAGGATCTAGTTGTGGTTTCGTAAAAACAGAGATTTTGTGTCAAATCTTTTCGTTAAACTGAAACTAAGGTTCTGTAGATCTATATTTCCCTACACCCACATCCACAATTATCTTCAATAATTTTATTTCTTTTCTTCTTCCTAGATTTAATCATCAGTCTTATTTGGATTACAGGTAAGAAGTAAAGTTCCTAATATATAATCAGAATGAGACTGCAACATATTTCCGTCATGATACTATAGTAAGTGATAAGAACAAAAAATGTAGAAGACAATTAATGACTAGTTATATAATAAGAATTTATCTTGTACGAATAGTGAACGACATGAAAGACGAATAAAAATACGCTTACTCATATCAGCACACCCCGCACCCACCTTCCAGCTCGTATAGCACTAAGGAGAATACGATCGATTTATTTACAACATACATGTTTCTTCTGATTCTTGTTTGAGTATCTATAGGACTTTTATACAAGGGGGAAAAGCTGATTTAAATCATCTGAAAATCAAAACTAAATCATAAATTGCTTTTCCCCCCTTGACCATAACTCTATAAAATAGCATAATTTGATCAACACTTTCATATGACTTTGATATAAATATTCTTGATTTGTTAAGGATGGATTGAAGCTTAAGGACCACCCTTTACTTTTCTTATCTTTAAAATGAATCTTCACGTTAATGATTGTTATTCTCATATGCTATCAAAGCTTAATTTAGAAGTCAAATGAATGAAGTTTAACAACAAATATATTTCATAAGATCTTATGTATAGCCTTTGATCTGCATACAATCGAAAACATGAGTGTATACGCGAATGTGAATATAAAGAATATAGTCAATATTTTTATTTATTGCCAAGCTCCAATAGCTCTCATAAATCGTTGCCGCCAAGTAGTAATTGTTTTTATGAATTCTTTCCTATAGAAAGTCGATGGTAAAACAAATATGACGAAGATAAACGATGATGGAATGAATGAAACAAAATAACCGAGAAGATACAACCAAGGATTTTGAGATGATTTAATACATGTTGATAATAATGAAACGAGAAAACGAGGAAATAATAGAATGGCTAAGATAATAGGACTGATAACAAGTTGTTTGTGCTGGTTAATTTGATTGAGTAATTGTTGTTGAGAACTAAATTGAGATTGAACAGTCGTTTTTAGACGAGTTATATATACAATAATAAAAATAGCTGAAATTAAATTCGCTAAAAACGGAGCAATAAAATGAAAATATTGAACAATATTCGTATATAGTTCAATTGATTTAGAATAACGAACTACACACCAAACACGTTGTTCTTCGTAATCATCAAACAAATCACGATTAATAAATTCATAAATCACTGAACCCAAAATAAGAAGTGGTAAAAGACAAATAATCCATCGTGCTATACATCGACTTCTTTTCTTATTAAAACTAGTTCCTTGAAAAACTGCCATTGCTCTGTCAATACCTACACAAGTATTAAGCCAATTACTCATATGTAGAAAAAAACGAAGCATTGGTTCCAATAATAAACATCCAATTTGAAGAATTTTTCGGTTAATCGATGGATTCATATATGTATATGTTACAAACCAAAATCTAATGATTAACATACTAACAACGAGTGTAGAAATTATTGATGATAATCGAAGATAAATTCCCGAAGCAACTTTTCGACAATTACGGTTATGAAAAACTAAATAACCAAAAAAACTATTCAATAAACCAATTAGAAAAATAATTATGGTAGAAGCTGCACTCAATTTAACTACCAATGATTGATGAGCTAATGTATTATTAGGTCGAATTTCATAACGTAATAAATCATCTAATGTTAATCCAATACCTTTAGCATAAAACTGACATCGATCACCAAAGAAACAATCATTACATACACATAGAATATTATAAAAACATATACGTCGATCTTGTAAACACGTTCCACCATTCTCACAGTAAACATTATCATCACAGGCAAAAGTCTGTTGATGTTCTAATGGAAAACAGTTACTATGACGTTCTTCCGTACACAAACACATGTAGAATTCGTCGACAAAACATTGTAGATTAACATGATCTTGGCATGGAATATGATAGCTTTTCAATCGTTGAATTCGTGGTAATATGAGTAATTTAGTAGACAAAAGTTCATGGACTGGAACGCATCGTTGGGCAGGATTGATGGGGGTTATTATGTTGGATGAGACAAATTTTCGAAGTAGTACAGCTAAATAATAACAATCATCAATCTTGACAATAACCATTTGAAACGGAGTTTGAGAGTACAAAGTGATATTACTTTGAAACATAGTCATTTTTCCGAGTATAACAAATGTTGGTGGTGATCGTTCGAAACTAATCTCAGTGTAAATATAGACGAGTAAATACAATGGAGTTTCGATATTCTCAAGCGAAATATCTATTCTATGTTTAACATTTTCGCATCTTGGCCCAAAAAATTGTTCAGAACAAAAGCACATATAACTTTCATGAATCATTCTCTCATCGATTACTATACAACGACCATTATTTTTGCAGAATCCTATTGGACATACTGATTGAAGACGACAAAAGGAACCGAATTTTTCGTGAGAACAGACACAAATTGATCGATTTTGAATCGAACCTATACAAATCGAATTTGATGCACACATACTACAATCGATTGGAATATGACATTGTGCACCAGACCAACCCGAATAACATTGACAGAAGAATCGTTCTTCATTATGATATTTCATACAAGTACCTTTATAACATTGTAGAGTACAGTGTTTAGAATCGAATCTCCGAGAAATCGGAAGGGTTAAAAAAGCACTTATTCGATTGACTGGTAAAAAGACGAATGGAATCGTTAAATGCCAACTTATTAGATATGCCGATGAATTTTTATTGTATGCATCGATACGAATACTGTAGTTTTTTGAATTATTCTTTCCATGCTTCGAATATATCAGATAGAGATTCACAGGCTGACCACAATGTTCTAGTGGTGCATAAGTGAATTGATTGTACGAGTGAATTTCTTGTCGATCCTTGTCATCTTCTATCAACATAACAACAATAGCATAAATGATTGGTTGTCTAACAGTTACCAATGTTAAGGTAAGACTAACACGTTGACTTTGATATTGGCATCGATCGCCATAATAATTTGGAGGACAAAAACATATACTACTGTAGTTATCGACTCCAAACCGATGATACATATATAAACCATAATTACAAGCATATGGCTGTATGATATTTCTAATCGGCAATTCTATCTTTTTGTTAGTGACCTGATTTTCAAGAGAATAAGTTTGAGTAGTCTGTGAGACTGGATAAACTAATGCAGTATCCAATGAAAAATACTTATAAGCTGTATTAATGATTCGACATGAAATATCTCGCATATCACTAAGATTATCCAAAGCATAGCCATTACATAATTGTAGACGGTCAACGCAAAATTGATAATTATTATACGCTGAACAAACTTGATTTTTATTGCAAAGATTTTTATCTGCTGTACATTTCGTGTCATTCGAACAATGAAACCTGTTCGTTTGAAAGTACTGAAATTTATCAGATGATGGTCGTAAACAAGCGACGGTTTCATTAATGATTTGACCGGCTGGTAAACACATTTGTGTATAATTCTGTGGCGAAGTACAGAAAAAGAAATGCCTTAATGTAATTGGTTTCATACAATGTTCTTCATCCTCTCCATTAAGACAATTTCGAAAACCATCACATCGTGTGTAGATATTATTGCATTGCCAATCTTCACAATCAGTTTCATCGGAATGATTTCGTCCATCAATCAACGCCATGGGTACATCTATGATGCGATCACATATTTTATAAAATGAGATATCATCATGATTTATCTGTATTGGAAAAGAACAGATACTTGTTGGAAAAAAGCGTGATCGACACTGTATTTCGTTTGGACATCGAAATTGAGAGGTTTGATTCAATGAACAACTTAATTCAGATCTTGCTTGTTCATCATCTTTCAAGAAGCAATCTGATATACCGTCAAGGATTCGATATTTAGAAATATATTTCGAGGAATTCTTACAATGATATAATGATGAATGATGAGCATCGATGATATGATAATGTTGATTAATACAACCATCAAAATATGGTTTAATTGAATCGATAATTGATTCCCAAGTAGTCAATTCAACATTCATCGTAAGATTCATTTGATTACCAGAGCGACAAGTCAAATTTCCATGACGAAATGTGGGTGTGAGATAATCGCATAATTGTTCATCATAACAGATATAATCAGGTTTAAGAGATAATGTAATATTAATATTGTCAATCTCTTTTGGATGATATAAAAATCTTACATAACCATAAAGTACAGGAATAATCGGAAATTGAAGAGGAAACTTGCAACTTTTTAATTGTTCGATAATCTCAGAAGATCGAATGAATTCATCACATGATATATTCTCAATTTTGTCCATAATTTTTGTAAGACAAACCATGCTTATCCAACATCCGTATGATAAATTTCCTCTAATACTAATTGATTGAGTTAATGAAAGAGGTCGATTAGTTTTGCATTGACCAAAATCTCCTACACATTCTCCATCACCACACGAAAATTTACCTTCTTCAGGTCGACAAATAAATTCTTGACATTCAAACAGATTCAAACGGAAATAAAATCTTAGACACAGAGAATTTTTGACTAAATAATCCGATCTATCAAGACATTGTGCTTCATGAAAATCCATTTCCAAAAACTTTTTTGGAATACACAATCCATTATGGCATTGATATTCATTTTCATCGCATTCATTAATTTCTAAATTGAAACATTGAATTTCATCAACACCACCATTAAGACAATCAATTCGACCATCGCAGATCTCACGCCAATCGAGACACATCGATGATCCACCACGATCACATTCTAGAAGAATATAACACGTTCCAGTAAATATATCATCAGTTAAAGCTGTCTCAAAAGAATTTTTCACTAATTTATCTTCATTAAATTCGAATGAATATTGACATCGTGATCCAAACCATGGTTGTGTACAATTATAGAATTTTTTATTGGATAGATTAGATTGAATTGGTTGATCAAGATAGTATCCATATTGTTCAGCAAGATCAATTGATGACGACCACATGAGAATTTCATGTGATGTTACATTCAAACGGTATAATTCATCGAAAGTCAAATAATCATCAGATATGTTAAAAAATTCAACCATTATTGAATTCGTATCATTTTTTGGACGAATACAATATTTGACTGTTTCAGAAAATAAGAAAAACTCAGTTGAAAAATAATGCAAACAATCAAATCCAAATTGATCGGTATCATAAAAAATTGATTGTAAGTTATTAAATGTCCATAGAAAAAGCATTATATATAAAAATTTTGACATTATTCAAATATGGGCTTATATGATAATGGTAATGATAATAATAACATAGTTAAATGAGAGATTTAACATAGAGCTCTCCTAATAAATATTGACAATTGTCTGGCTGCATTGATAGCGTTTAGTATTAGATGTATGATTTTTTTCTCGATGTGACGTGCTTTGTCGCAATTATAAAAAACTCATTTGATACTCGCTTTTATTCTATTATGTCGGAATTATATGTTGGTATTACTACGATAAATAATAAAATCACATATTTGGATGAATTCAGCTCAACTACGTGTAACTACTTAATTGACTTCACTGCTATAACATTCTATTTTATTCAACGTTAAAAAGACTTGACGTTGGACTTTGAAAAAATTTATCGGAATTTCTATATGAATTATTCTTTATATCTATGTTAAATGATATTTTCGTTTTGTTCGTTTTATCTGTGTATATATATATAAAGAAGAATATCTGTTTGTTTGTCTGTTCGCTAGAGAAAATGGCGTTTCACACCACCTCGTCATTCCGAACTCCCGTAGTGGATGTCTCTTACGAACTTCAAACAGAACATTATTCAAAACTTTCGTCAAGGATGTCGGAATGACAAGATTGAATCAAATAAGCAGGATATGGGGTGAGTGTAGATGGCTGGGTGTCGGGTGGATGTGGGTGGCTGGGTCTGGGTGTGGGTGTATATTTACTCTTAACCAACACCCACATCCGCACCCACACCAACACTCACCCACACCCGCTTTCTCATCTGCTAAATATGTACTGTCAAATTTTTCCGACCAGCGGCAGGTACTTCCGCTAGTACGATATAATTATCAAAAACATGCGTAAATAGTATAGGCATGGTCAAATAGCTTTTTTTTTATTTAAAAGAAAACGAATACCACGCACAAAATATCCACATTAACAAATAAGATAAAAGAATTCTTAAAAAGAACTTGATAATAAATGTTAATGATACCAAGATTTTAGACATTAATCTTCACAATGGGGAACTGAGGCCCAACAGTCATCACCGAGTACATAGCCATACTCTCCCTTAGATGTTTCAATATGATACCATTTTTTTGTTTTATGTGGAAATCTTTCGATTTCAAAGCAGTCACATGGATAGTAATGATCAGCGCGGACATACATATATGGTTCACAATCCATTGATGCACACGTGTGAGCAGCAGTCCTTTGATGACACATAGCTTCACCACCCTAATCATATAAAAAGTAAAATATTTCAGGTGTTAAGATATTCGATTAAGACAAAAACTTTACCTCGCATAGTGTCGCACTAAGAATTAAGACCATCAAAGACACGATAATAAATCGATCCATTTATAATTTGACTTGTCTGTATTGTAATAATATATTTTTATTCGATTCGAAATAACTAATTTTATAAACTAGGAGCATCCTTTTATACAACAACGAAAACGTGATCTTGGTAATTTAGGCGGAAGTATTATAGTATGTTGGATAGTGTACTTCATAGATACTTTTTCCAAGGATATAGATGACACATAGATAATGACGAAAAAACATCATGTGATTCGAACAAGGAAGGAAGAAGCGCTTAGTTTGCATAGTATATTCATCATTCTTCAATTGGGATAAAAATCTCTCTTATCATTTTTCCAGTTTAAAAGATTATTTTATATTTGTCATCGATTGGTGAATATTCATAAATTCATCATACATTGTTATTCAAAAGCAAAGTCCAATCATCATTTGAATCGATTGGTCTATATGTGAAACTAATTCTTCTTCCGACTTAATTCATCTATGTACTTCCGAGTAACATCTAAAAAAACATTTTTATTTCTACGTGATGATTCACGCATTTTCTTTTATCTTTCCTTCTTCGTTTTTCATATTATCTTGCACTGTTAGGATCATATAATCGCAGTTTATAAGCAAAATAAAAAAGAATACATTTGTATGCCTATCAATGGATGTGGCAGTTGGTTACGGAATCTAATTAGGTTTGGAATGATAATATAATAACAAAATGAAAATATTATATTGTTAGTTTTAACTTTAATGAATAGAATTTTGTTCTTTTTTATTAGGTTTTTCTTATCTATGTTTGTGTTGTTATATATCAAACAGAAGAAAAAAATTCATGTTTTATAGATAGGTTTAAATTATTTTGAACTGTAGACCATTGATTTTACATTAAGAATAGAATATACCCTTTTTTTTCTTAGATAGCAATTTTCTGACATATGCGATATTTTTGTTAATTTCGTGCTTATTTTCTTTATGAATCGTTTCGTCAAGAGATATAATATTGAATAGATTCAATGAAGAATAGTATAAGTTGAAAATATAGTATTTTATTTAAAGTTTTAATATCGATGTAAAAACAAATTTTTTATTAAAATATTTATTGGTATTTAGATGTATAATTTAAAAGATTGTGATTTAATGAAATACTTATTTTGATGTATATGAAGTAGTTAAATGAATGAAATTGATATTATTGTTAAAAAAGTTAAAAAAGAAAAGCAATTATTGATATAGTTTCTTAATCTTTTTCGAGATTGACTTTTTTTCTTAGTATTCTCTTCAAGAGAGTGATTATTTCGTTTTGTTGTCTTTTTAGTTCGAGACGAAATTATTGTATATTTTTGTAATAATTGATGATGATGGTTCAAAATTCGTTTTATTTAAAATATCGAAAAAAAAGTGCTCATATTGATTGAAAGAATCATTAAGTAAGTAAAAATATATCAGAATTCACATCTTTCTTTCTTATTATTGATAAAACTTCTAACAGCAATGACTTTTGAAGCCTTTATTATAACAACATGATTTGATTTCTCCTACATCATGTATCTGAAAAAAGATATTCACATCCACGCTCTTCTCCCAATACACGTGAAGATCTAATTGTGGTTCCGTAAAAACAGAGATTTTGTGTCAAATCTTTTCGTTAAACTGAAACTAAGGTTCTGTAGATCTATATTTACCTACACCTACATCCACAATTATCTTCAATAATTTGAATTCTTTTCTTTTTCATAGATATAGTCATCAGTCATATTTGGGTTACAGGAAAAAAATAAAGTTCTTAACATATAGTTAGAATGAGGCTGCAACATATTTCCTTCATGATACTATAGTAATTGATAAGAACAAAAAATGTAGAAGAGAATTAATGAATAGTATATGATATGAAAGACGAATAAAAATACTCTTTTTACAGACACAGAACTCCAAAAATGTCAATAGTAAAATCATTTATATGAATTAAAGTAAGTGATAATTAATGTAAATTTCATCGAAATTTATCACACTATTAATGACATGTATCATTTCTACTAGAAATGTATAGATATGAAAAAAAGATGAATTTTATTTATTAAGAAATCTCTCATCAAATATAAGTTTATATTAGAAATAAAATAAAACTGGTACAATGGGTAACAAGATTATAGGTTCTCGTATCTTATAGTCAAAATAATGAGTGTTATGTTCTCAAAAGGAATTTCTTTTCGTAACATAGTATTCATTGTTTTTGATTATGACATAGGAGGACCTATAATATTATTATCCCTTGTATATCAGTAACAAATATTATCTGATTACAACTCTAGAATATTTATTTTTAAATAAAAGTCTTTAGCTTTTCCGTCGTAAAAGATCATATTTTTGATTGAAACTCTATAGTAAAAGACTAAAACAGTTTCTCCTATGTCAGATTGAACAAACATATCATTAATTCTTGTTTTTCAATTAGTTTAATAGAATGCAAGTAAAATTGATATTATTATAACATATTGGACGAATCATCTTGTAATCTTCATTTACTTTTTGTATTCATATGAGTACATTCTTTATTTAATATTTTTTAATAAATATTAATCATGAATCTTCTACAAGGCATTTGTAATCTTATCGTTGTTATTAATATTTGTATTATTAAAATCTCTTCGAAGAATAATTCCAAAAATTAAATTTTTTCAAATAAAAGGAACGAGTGCGTCATAAACAATGAAGGGTTTTAATATTTTTCGAATATCTCGGTTAATTCCCGCTCTTTTAACCTATTTTTTTAAAAAAAATGCATAATGTCATTTTCTACAAAACCATATAAAAAGAGTTCTTTCAATAAATGGCAATGAGATTGTACCCCACCAACACTAAAATGTTCCAAAATGGTCCACTTTAAAACAATTTTTCTATATTTTTGTGTATACTCTCTCTAACAAAGTTCAAATGAAGATATTCGGATAGGACCGTGAGTTTCCAACGCAAAATCTTCTAAAAAACAGATTGTAACCATCGATCCTATCGAAATAACAAAGAAAACATTTTCCTCTAACTTGGTAATAAATCTGAGTATACAATAACTTTTCATTTAATACGATTCTGATAGATTGACGGTATATCAAAATAAAGTATACGATCAAGTGATAGAGCTTTTTAAGGGCTATAAACTGGCCTATTCAGTCTCTTGTGTATATGGGCAAAAGAGCGGCACAAAATCGTAAATACGAAGGACGGTGCTTTGAAAGTGGGATATTTCTGGGCACTTTAGTGTTGCTGGGATACAATCCCATTGCCATTTATTGAAAGAGCTCTTTTCATATGGTTTTGTAGAAAATGAAATTATGCATTTTTAAAAAAAAAAGTAGGTTTAAAGAGCGGGAATTGACCGAGATATTCGAAAAATATTAAACCCCTCATTCTTTATGATGCACTAGTTATTTCAATAAAAGAAGAAAAAAAATCATTAACCTTTATGTTACTCTGTTACTATCATAGAAAAGTAATATATTTCTATATAACATGTTCTCTCTTTTTCTCTCTCTCCATGTATTAATATAAGATATCGACGTTCAACTTTGTTAATAATAATATAAATATTTTCTTTCAGCTGTGATAGCTAACAGTCAATTATTGTATGAATGAGAAAAAAGTTGACATAGACTTAGAATTTCTCGAGCTCAAACATAAAGATCATCGTAAGCCTCAGTGAGGACATTTAGAGATATGATAATTTCTACGAGCTGAAATTAATTAATATGTCACTAACAAACATAAACAATCTGTTTATGATTTCTCGTCATAAAATTTCACTTTATATTAATTGCAATGGTCAAAATATTCTATTTTCTTGAGATATACAATTGACTAGAATAAAATATCATCGAAGTTTCTATTCGACATATTTCACTATTTTATTCTCTCGTACCTGTCAAAACTAGGATGTGAGTATAAGATGAACTGAGAGCGCGTGAAAAAGGCTTAAGGATACTTTGGTTACATACAGATAATCCAACTATTACGATTTAATAATCTTTTCAGTAATGTAAAATTAATTCTTATATACAAACTTGTCCCTTTAGACATTAATTTATTTTAATTATTTTTCTAGAAAGATTCTTACTCATTTTATTAATTTAATTTATATACGAACTCAATACAAACTTCTATTATGATTACTGATCAAACTAAAATCAATGGTTTTATACTTACCTTGGTTTCTCTTGGTCTTAATACATTTGCATGTTTAATATCATGCATAATTTTTATTATTATTATATATCAACTTTATTATAATCATGTAAAACGTGAAAACAAAATAAATATATTCCTTTGTAGTCATATATATTTTGTAATTTTAATATATACACCAATGTTAATGTCAATGAATATTCGATCAATACTGGGTGATTTGTATAAACAATCTTTTGATTCGAGACTGTGTATTTTTTCCGGATATTTATCTCTTGTAATGTTTTGTATGTTATACATGACTTTTGTCAATCAGGTAATTCGAAATAATATAAATTAGAGAATTTATATATTCTATTTTGAATAATTCTAGGCATTCTATCGTCTTATCCGAATTGTTTATTTTCAAAATAGACGACTTCAATCTTTTAAATTATATACAATTTTACCAATTATAGAAATAATTATATCGTCTATTCTTTTATGTGTTCTTATACCTTTGAATGGTGTAACATATTTACCAAATGATTACTTTTGCTATGCAACATTCACAAATATTCCTTGTATTCTTTGCGTAGCATTTGTTATTTATATAATTCCATTCTGTTGTTTATTAGTTATTTATATACATATAACTAGATTTATTCGTCAACAAGGAAATATTCAAACATTAGTTGTCAAACAACGACAAGCTCGAGATTTACTTATTATTCGACGTATTTTAATTATTGTTATTATATTACTTATTCTTGGAATACCAGCATTAATTCTTATATTCATGTTTATTATAACAGGTGAAGAATATCCATTATTGGCTCGAATTGCATTTTTTCCAGTTAGCGCATCTCAAGCAGGATTGAGTGTAGCATTACTTTTTTCTATTCCACAATTGAAAAATATTGTTCTAAAACTACGAACAACAAGCATAGTGATGCCTGCCAATCGGGTCACGCAAGGTGAAGTACATATAAGAACAATTACTCGTACTCAATAATTAAATCAATCTTAATTGCTTTTACTTTTTTTTATGTTTCGTATTTGTATGTCTGTGTATAGTTTAAATCAATATGTTGTATTATTTATTTTCGTTTATTGATGTGTAGAAATAAAGAAAGCTTCAGTACTAATTAATCTTCGGACGTTGTTCTTATTTTGCTACATAAAGAGAATTTAAAATTTAGTCTGTTTGCATCATGCTTATCTGCAGATATAAATATGATGACATTAATCTTGTTGAACCCTCCAAACGTCGTACGAGGATTAAACTATGTTATAAAATGTAATGGTTTTCATAATAAAAAAAAGAATAAAATATCTATAATATTATCGATAGTTAGTTCTCTTTTTAAACGGTACGAAAAAAAATGAAATATGATTACAAGATTGAGTATTATTAGATTTAAAAGAAAAAGCAATATTTATTATTTTATGTCTAGCATGTGAATAAAACTTGAATTGGCCAGATGTTCTGTCGTGTGATTTATTGCCATCGTATAAATAACCTTGAAACATTTATTGTTCTATACATATTTGCTTTCTTTTGTTTTTAACAAGCAAATAATACAAAAGACTCGTATATTATCTATCGAGTGGCAATCGTGATTATAAATTTATAATGTTTTTGTTTTAGACGTATGCCAAACATTATGCATCAATTTGTACCATTTCTACTCTTAATACTACTAACTATCGGTGCATCATGTTCTATTCAATTATATGTCCTCCCATTTCCAACACTTTTCAATAATAATGCTGATGGTTCACGTACATATCCATACTCATCGATTCAACAAGCACTTGATCATATCAAACGTAACTATTACCATGACGACAGTACTACGATGCGTTACACAACAATCAATTTATATCCAACTTATCATTTCGTCGATAGTACTATTAAATTTGATCGAGTACATAGTCATACACGATTAACAACAATGAATGCTGAAGATACTGCTTTTTATGAAGAATTGATTGCCAATAAAAACTCATATCCACGATTACCAAGGGCGAGTATAAGTGGTGGAATACCGATAACTGGTTGGACATCCGTAGGTAATAATACATATAAAGCTATCGTAACACAACCAATATTTGTCAATCAGTTATTTGTCAACAATCAACGTATTGCTCGTACACGTATTCCGATGAATCCATCCGAATATCTTCAATATACCGCACCATTACAAGATCCAAATCAGGCAAGATATGGTTTTCAATATGCTGAAGGACAATTCGAATCTTGGCCATTGGATGATGCCATGGTAGTTGTCTATCATAGTTGGACTACATCTCATCATTATATTAATCAAATTATTAAGTCAAATAAAACTGTACTATTCACCAATCCATCTAATAGTCCTATTGGAATATATCCTATTCAAGCACAACGACGATTTCATGTTGAAAATCTTTGTATATCATTTGTATCAAATTCATTTTGTTTTGTAAATGCAACAAAAACTATTTATCTGATGACTGATGGATCATATGATCCAACAAAAGTACAAATTATTACACCAATAAATGAATTTGTTGTAATACTTGCTGGTAGTGATGTTACTAATCCAGTTGAAGATATTACTATTGATAATGTTGCAATACAACATAGTGCATGGAATATTGATCGAACTCAACAAGCTGACTATCAAGCAGCCTCATTTCTTACTTCTGCACCACTTTATATCGCCAATGCAACCTCTGTTATCATTTCAGATGTTGAAATTAGTCATACTGGATCATACGGAGTTTGGATTAGAGAAGGAACAACCAGTATTAATATTATTAACTCACTGATTACTGATACTGGCGCTGGTGGTATTCGCATTGGTCAAATGGCAGCACCAGTACCTACACCAACTAGTTCAATACATATAATATCAAATGAAGTTAGTTATGGTGGAAATGTTTTTCCAAGCGGTGTAGGAGTAATTGTTCATCGTGCGGTTGATGTTGATATTGTTGATAATAGTATTCATCATCATCGATATACTGGAGTTTCAATAGGATGGGAATGGGGTTATGCTCCATCATACACAAGTAATATATTAGTTCATAGCAATTATATTTATAATACTGGACAACATATTCTTTGTGATCAAGGTGGTATTTATACATTAGGTATTCAACCTGGAACGATTATTACTAATAATGTAATTAAAAATGTTTTTAGTTATGCTGCTTATATGTGGGGTATTTATCTAGATGAAGGTTCATCTCATATTATAGCCTCAAATAATGTTGTGTATAATATTGGATGGGGTGGTTTGTTTCAACATTATGGTGCTAATAATACCATTATTAATAATGTATTTGCACGTAATTCTGAGATTCAACCACCACATCCTGATGATCCCATTCCCGATGGGGATCTTCGTATTATGAATACTGAAGATCATCTTTCGTGGACATTTGAAAATAATATTGTCTATGATACATTTCAAGGAAGCAATCATTCTGCATTTAAATCTGATGCACCAGATGTTCGTGTATCCTTTAATAATAATGTTTATTATAATCCCTATAACACTCAATTATTATTCGGTATACAACAAACATCATTTATAGAATGGCAAAAAACTGGACAAGACAATAGTAGTATAATAGCAGATCCATTATTTACAGGCGATGTTAATCAATGTGATTTTTTTACTGTTCAATCTAATAGTCCTGCAGTAAAACTTGGATTTGCAAATATAACTAAACTTACGAAATGGACTCCTGGATGTGGTACAGATAATGTAGTTAACGATAATCAATATTATCGTTGGTAATAGAAATATTGTTATCTTAGTTTTCATTTCTCTAGGTGATGGTTTATAGAATAGATAATAGTTTATGATAGTTTGAAATGGTTTTTTTTTTCTATTTCTGCGTTTATTTGAATAAATTATTTATAAATAAATACATCTTCTGCGCAAAAGAGGGCGAGGTTGTAGGTGAGTTTGAACTCGAGTGACATCGTCTTATTCTATCCGTATCACGATCATAAGAAGAGAAGGAAAAAAGAAAAGATGTATATATAGTCAAATATATACATAACATTAACATTTTCTAGTTATCAAAATAAAATATACGTCTTTACTTAATCGTATTCAATGTTGCCTATTTACTTCTAATAAGAGAAAAAAAGGCGCCTTTTAAAAAAACAATACGTGCTTAATCTTTGAAAAACAATACCATATGCATCTTTCATGATATTTTCAATCAAAAAAACAAGAAGACTAGCACAATGAAGATTCTACATCTTATTATTTTTCTTCTAAATATATTTTCAATAATATCTCAATCACCTGATCAACTTTATGATGAATTATTTCAAGCTGTACAAATGCAACGTATATTTTCTGATACGAAAACATTTTGTGATGTTATTCCACGTGAATTAACTCCAAATGAAATTCTTTTCTTATATCGAAAAGAATATAATAAACCAACATTTAATTTAACATCATTTGTTTTAAATAATTTTATTTTACCAAATATAACAATAATTGTACATGAACAATGGACAATTGAAGAACATTGTCATCGTTTATGGTCATTATTAACACGAACAACCAATGAAAATTATTCATCATTTATGGATGTTCCATATCCATTTATTGTACCTGGTGGACGTTTTAGAGAATTTTACTATTGGGATACTTATTTCACCATGTTAGGTTTAATACGATCAAATGAAACACAATTAATAAAAAATATGTTAGATAATTTTGCTTATTTAATACGAAAAATCGGATTTATTCCAAATGGTAATAGATATTATTATGAAGGTCGATCTCAACCACCATTTTTTTCCTTAATGACTGAATTAGTTAATCAAACAAATAATTATCGTTATGAATTAGAATTAGAATATCAATTTTGGATGACTAAAAGAAATATAACATTAGATGATGGTACAATTTTAAATCGATATTATGATGAATTCCATGATCGACCAAGAATGGAAGCATATTTTAAAGATGTTCAATTAGCAAATAAAATAAATAATACAAATATATATGCACATCTTCGTGCAGCTGCTGAATCCGGTTGGGATTTTAGTTCTCGATGGATGGAAAATGAAACAGATTTATCAATATTAATAACAACACATATTATTCCTATTGATCTTAATTGTTTATTATATCATTTAGAATTAACATTAGGTAAAATAGAGCAAGCTAAATATCGTCAACAAGCTATACAAAAATATATGTGGTCAAATGAACAAAAATTTTTTTTTGATTATAATTATATAAAAAAACAATTAACAAATCGTTTAACATTAGCAGCTGTTTTTCCTTTATGGCTTAATGCTGCAACTAAAGATCAAGCACAATATGTTGCACAACAAATTAAATTCTTATTTTTACATGATGGTGGTGTTGTTACAACATTAGCAAATCAAAGTTCACAACAATGGGATTATCCGAATGGATGGGCGCCATTACAATATATTACATATCGTGCTTTACTTAAAACTTCTGGTTATGAATCACTTGCTCGAATAATTCGTCAACGATGGATGAATATTAATGAACGTGTATTTAATAATACAGGTAAAATGATGGAAAAATATGATGTTATCGATACGAATAAATTAGCTGGTGGTGGATTGTATGAAACACAAGATGGTTTTGGTTGGACAAATGGAGTTTATTTAGAAATGCTTTATGATAATAATAATGATCCACAATTATCAATATGATATTTAATCAAATATTTTTTTTAACATTTCTTTTAATTAAATGATATAGAAAAGATTCAAAAAAATTATCAGAAATATTAGTTTAGATGTAGATGGCTTTATTAATGTGGAAAAAAGAGAAAATTTTTTATTCAATAATACATAAGTGATATTATAGACAATAGAAAAGGGTGGGTGGGCATGTATGAGAGTGTGGGTTCGGGTGAATAAAAGATGAATCTACAACCACACCCACATTGTAAGGACTAAATTCATAGAAGATAGTTAACTTATAGAAAGGGATATGGGTGTGGGTTTCTGTGTGGACGTCGATAGTCTATTCATTCTACGCCACACCCACACCCTCGAGTTAACTTACGAATATACTTCATCAACTAAATCATACTTAATAACCTATATTTTTATCATTCATGCGAGTAGAATATAAATATAATATTACGCTCTTATTTCTACCCTCTATAAACAATAATGGATATCATTTCGGTAATCATTATTTTCAATCTATAACTAGTCTTTCTGATGCTATTCATCAACATTATATTGGTTAAAGAGTTAAGTATTTCAAATGAACATTATATAAATTCTTTTCTATTCTGTCTTTTTTTGTAAAATAAAATGAATGGCAGATAACTATTTATTTAAGCCTGGAAAGTAAAATGAAGATGTTCTTTATGTCATTGATTATATTAAATAGTGAGAATGAGCATGACAGAATATTAGAGAGTTTGGTTAGTCACGCACATGTATTAGAGTAATGTCTATGAATCTACTGAGGAAAACACACAAAAAAATTTTTATAAGTTCTTTTTTACTGCGTTAATGTTATCTTGAACCATTTTAACATTCGGATGTGTAGATGAGAAGGATTTTTGAAATATACCAAGTGCATCTTTTAAGTATTCAATAGCTTTTGAATAATCGCGCTTGGCGCTATATACTAGTCCGATGTTATTGTAGGACATGCCAAAGTCAGGATGGCCGTCAGGGAGAGATATTTTTCGTATTTTAAGCGCTGCTTCATAGTATTCAAGTGCTTTGGAATAGTTACCCATTTTCTCATACACTCCACCAATGTTGTTGTAGGAAGTAGCTAATGATGGATGATTTTCAGGAAGAGATTTTTTGAGGATTGTAAGTACTTTGTCAAAAGCTTCAATTGCATGAGGATAGTCACTATTAGCGCTGCATAGTAGTCCAATGTTATTGTAGGATTGAGCGAAGTCGGGATGATCGTCTGGAAGAGATAACATTCGTATTTTTAGGGCTTTAGCATAATATTCATGAGCTTTGGAAAAGTCATCCATGATTTTATATAGCAATCCAATGTTGTTGTAGGAAATAGCCAAATCAGGATGATTGTCTGGAAGAACTTTTCTTGATATTTCAAGATTTTTCTGATAATATTCCAGTGCTTTTGAGTAGTCTGCCATATTCTTATACACACTACCAATGTTGTTGTAACAAGTGGCCAACGCAATAGGATTTTCTGGAAGAATTTTTTTCGTTATTTCTAAATCCTTCTGATAATACTTCAATGCTTTTGAATAGTCTCCCATGTTCGTATACACACCACCAATATTATTGTAGCAAGTAGCTAATGATGCATCATTTTCAGGAAGAATTCTTTGTTTGATTTCTAAAGATTTTTCGTAGAAGGAAATTGCTTGATCATATTGTCCTTTATCATCTTTGAGATATCCAAGTTGATTATAGAAATTTGCTTTCTCAGTGTCCTTAGTCGTTTGTTCTAACAGTGCATTATATAATTCTTCGGCCTTGTCGAATTGACCTATCTTGGCCAGCAAATGACCCAATCGTATCCAACCGGTTCCACTTCCAGTTTCTTCTCGTATAACATTAGTTAGATGGCACAGTTGTTGATCGTTATCGGACGTCAATTTCAATTTAACGTGATAGAGTAGATGATCATTATCAAGTTTTTGTATATCGATAATTCGAAAGACAGTATGTAAGGAGAAGAGTATTTCCGTCTCTTCAGTAAAAAAACTCATATCCTTGATGAAGGCAAAAGGACTAGTAGAAATATTCGGATTAATGATCATTTCAAAAAGAATGCCAACCGCATCCTGATTTGTTGAGTTGTTACGAGCAAAATTTAAGGATGTATCACGAGTCGTACTGGTAGATAAAAAACTATTGAAAGATATAAGTCCACCTTTACTTTGCAACAGTTTATTTAAGTGTTTTATTGTTAATCCTTGACCTCGATATACTGTAAATTCTTGGCCATGATGGTGACTAGTTTGTTTTTGGTGTAGTTCTTGAATTTGACGGTGTATATCACATAAAAAGAAACCCATACGAATAGTAATATCACCATCAAGAGTTCTTAATGCTTTATTAAGCATTTTGTAGGTGAAACATTCGCGTGTATACCACCATATGGCCTTTGATGATTTATAGGTATCGGCAAATTCGTTGATGGTTTTAATTTCTTTACTGTTGTTCTGATATATTTTTCGACAGAATGAAGCTAAATCCTTGACAGCTTGTTGGCTGTGCTCCATGTCAAGGAGTATTTCTTTGAAGATCTGTGAGTACATGAAGTTCGGTCCTAACTGATTTAGATTTTGAGCTGAATCTGCTTCATACGGGCTGATAATAGTAATGTCTAGATCGTCCGATGAGACATCTGAGGTTAGACTTAACGGGTCCGTTTCATTTTCTAAAAAAAAAAAGAAAGTACTCGCAATCAACGTTAAATCCTCAGAAAAACTACGTCTTTTTTTCAGTCAAGGAGAGGGTTTTTTAGTGGAAAATGATAACCTACCGTTTAATGAGAAGTATTTCCAATAGTAAATAAGAAACGTACATTTTCCAAGCCAATAAATTGTTAGATAATCGAATAACCTTCGAAAAACACTTTCAAGACAGGATAGAAATGAATAAATAACCCAATATTTCAATAGTTGTTTTTTCTCAAATGTTCCTGGCGACTGCATAACTTTGAACCTGAAATAAAACAGAAGTGACAGTTAGTTTCTAATGATCAAAACTAAATATTAATCAATGTAAAGAACACTGATTCATCTAAGATATCTATTCACACAAAAGAGTCGATAATTAAATAAAACTCACGATGCATATGCTGGATAGATAACTCCAATAATGTTGCAAACAAAATCATTGGCCCAACCGCACACGAGATAAATGGAAAGAACAATACACATACCTAAAACATGTCTGAAACAATTAAATAGATATTTCAAAAATGAATTCTACTCAGAATAATAAGACAGGGCTTGACACCAATCTTCATTTCAATTAAATTTAAAGCGGAACGAATTGGACTCTTGTTCACGTATGCATTGATGCCATCTTCGATTTTCATAAGTTGATTCCTGATTGTGTCGACCATTTGAAAAAAAATCTAACTAACAAAAGATAATTACAAATGTGTATTTATGAAGAATTCGAACACTAAAGAAACTGATCAGTTTTCTATCTTTTTATAGTGTCGGTTCGATTTAGGAATAGATGGCATGATTATTTATGGCTTAATCCGACTTCCATCGATATGTATAGAACACATATTTGAATTTTTTTACTTTGAATTTCTTACGACCAATGCTGTTTACCTGTTTCGTTCGAAGTATTTGCTTCTTTCTTTTTGCAATAATGCAATACTTTTGGCTTCATTTTTGTGTGTTTCATCGTTTTCTTTTTATTTCGTTTCAAATTTTTTTCGAATACACACTCAATGGTGAAGAACTGTGCATAGCAACAACAGAGTATTCATTCACAGAATAAATAAAGAATCATAACAAACAAGCAACAGAATTGCTATTTCTTTCATAAAATTAATTTTTGATATAATTAGAGAAGATGGATATTGTTTATAAATATACAAGACCTAATTTCGAACCGAATGAATAAAGTTCGATCGTTTTGTTAATTAGAATTAAATTAATATAATATTCAGTTTTAAATAGAGTGCTTATAGAAGTATAATCTTAGACATTTTTTATTATTACACAGTCTACTCAGGATAAAAATTGATTGATAGTTTGATTTAATTATGTTGAATATTTTAACTAAATTTTTCGTCAGTGTGTAGTGACATCATAATCGATAATCTTGGATTTACTAACGATTGGTTGTGTTCAGAAGGAACGAACAATTTTCGTTCATTCGCTTCTATTTTTGGGTATTTTTTTAATGTTTCGTTTCATTTTATATAATATTAAATAAACAATGACTTCATCATCATCGACTGAAACAACAGAAAATGTTCTTGCTATGTATGATCAATCGGATGGTTTTCGAGTCTATAAAAACAAAAATATCGTCTTTTTTGGACATGATACTATGCGATCGCTTTATTGTGATCTTGCTCGATTATTACAAACTGGAAACATGTTAAAAAATAGTTCAATTAAATTCCATCATACTAGACATGATCCGTATGTTAGTAAGTATTAATAATTTCAAATAAGAACAATACGAGATCTATACTCAGCATATACTATGTTTAGTTTTCTGAGTAGTTTTATGAAGAATATAAAATTGTAAATATATTTTTTTTTTGAATAGATGAAACTGTACTTAAAAAATTAGATAAATGTATTTCATACGATCGTATTGACTGTCGTCGTTATTACTCCGAAAAATCTTGTACTACGTTGTATTTGATTTTTATTGGTAGTGTCATGGATGATAAGTGGCCAATAGATGTTGAATGGTTAAAGAATATCACAGAAGCTCAACAAATTGATTTAGTTGTTACATCATGTGCATATCCCGATCTTTGCGTGTAAGATTTTTACATTAATCGATATTTTGATCCAATAGTCTTCTTTGTTTTGTCTTATAAAATAGTCGTCGATTAGAAAAGAAAAATGAAAAATTCGATGATAAATTACCATTATTTGAATTAAAATTAAACTATATTTGCTCAACATTTAAATTGGCGTTCCCACATGCGACAATGATTTGGTTTCCACCATTACCAACAATACGTTTAGATGATGGTACACAAACGGATCAATTCAAGCAACTTGTTAAAACTTGTTTTGATATTGCATGTACTCAACATCATTTTCAATATTTGAAACGTTGTGAAGATTGGATTAATGTTTATAAAATATTATATTTAAAAGATGAATGTTATATGTCAGGAGAAGGTAAACAGTGGAATTAATAAATATTTGAAAATAATGTATTAGATAATTTATTTTAGCTCTTCGTGAACTTACAACTGAATTAGGTCAGTTCATGGCAGTAAAATGGCATCGTGGTATTGAAACTGAACCACCATATAAACGTTTTAAAACATAGAACAATTAATTGAAAGTATAAAAAGAAAGTCAAATAGGATTTATTAAATGTAATATATGTTATATTGAATATCTAAAAGAACAAGATTGATATCATTTATAATAAATTAGACTTTTCTAGTATTTGTCAAGCACCTTGATTGCGTAGTTATATTAATATTTTCTTTATAATATGAAGAAATAGCAAAAAGTATAAATTCGCCGATATTGACATTCTTGATATCTAACACATCTATTTACTGATTTTATTAACAATGAATTAAGTATTTATGATTTCTATTACGGGTGTGGGTATGAAACTAGATTGATTATAACATTCACACCCAAAATTCAGAGTTCTTAGAATAATCTACTTAGTTTAATAACTATGAAGTAATTCAATAACTTGCATTAGTGATCTAAATTTCGGCGATTTATAATATATCGCACTATTTCTTTTTGATTCGTAAAAATTCTTCCTAGAAATTTCTTTGTTAATAACACACGTCAGAACTCAAGCAAGAATTTTTTCTTTTGTTACAAATCAATCTTTTTCATCGTCATCTTACAACATTCGACAAAAAGTATGGTGCAGTTATTTTTTCTTCTTCTATGACATGCTTTCGATTGTATCTTTCACCATAAAAAGTCTGTAAATATAATATTTTTATAATGATGCAACCTTTCTGTTCTGTATGATTCCTTCTTTTTTTTTGTATTTACGTCACTTAATATTGCCTAGTCAACATCACATAACATTCTTCTATTTAAAGCAAGCTATCTAACGAGATCGACAAATACGTTAGTAGATTAAGAAACAATTAACTTGTAAAATGACAGTACCATCAGAAATATTTCTTTGTCCAATTACTCATGAACTCATGGTAGATTCAGTTATTGATCCAGATGGTAATAGTTACGAACGACATACTTATATATTATATCGAAGAAGTAAACTATGACTTTTAATTCTTTCTCAAAAAACACTACAGATAGTTTTAACACTGCGTTATTTTTTATAAATTTTGTGAGGTCATCAATAAACTCACTCAAGGACAACTTCCTCAAGAAATAAATATAGAACACAATAGTAACATCAAATGCGCTCGTTTTTCATGATATTTCCACCGAGATAAATTCATCTTGAAGAATCTATTTAATTACTGATGACGACAAATATTATTAACACATGGTTTCTTGGATTTTTTTGAATTAAATATTATAATACATGACATACGAAGATGTTGTTGCTCATGAGAGATACATCCTGTCATCTTTGCTTGTCAAATGAATAAGTATTTCTAATGATATCAACTGTGATGCACATTAAATAATCAGTTATATTCTAATTCATTCATTCATCCGTTCTTTCTAATTATGAATAGAAAAAAAAAGTGTCAAAATATTTAAAAAGGAATCTTCTGTCATTTATTAACATACATTTTTCTGAGATGAGCGCATCTATTTCGACTGACACTCAATTTATCGCTGAATTGGTCCTTATTGGACAACAGCTCACACGTTATATCCTTCTGGTTATGATCATTCTCAGTTTATTTGGCAATATACTAAATATTCTCATTTTTTGTCAACCTAAACTGAGTTCTAACACATGCACTATCTATCTTCTGGCTGCCTCTTGTTTCAATCTAGTATGGACGGTTGCTGCAGTTTTTTCTCGATTTCTTTCAACATACAATTTGGATTTTTCTGCTCAAATAAGTGGTCTCTGCAAAGTTCGTCATTTTATATTCTTCAGTTTTTCAAGTGTCTCAGTCTGGATGATGGCTCTGGCTACTTTTGATCGATTTCTAATCAGTAGTCCATTGGTTAAATATCGGCAATTCAGTTCTTTTCGCAATGCTTATCGAATGATCGGAATTATCATGCTTATCTTATGTGTCAACTATGCGAATCTATTTTATTGTGCCAATATCAAAGGAAAACCTCCATCATCATCATGCACATCGATCACAACACAAGCATGTGGTTTTTATAACGAATTATCTCGAATAATGACGGTTGCAATCATTCCTGGATTGATAATATTTATATTTGGTCTCGGTACTATTCGACATTTGAAGAAACTTCGAACTGCTGTTGGAACAACAACAACAGATCGGACGCAATCACAATTTCGAATGCGAAAAACAGATCGAGAACTCATGCGGGTAATAAATATTAAACAAATATTTCATTTTATTTCTTTTCTTTATTTATAGATGTTAATCGGACAGATAGTTCTAATTTTCGTCTCGTGGATTCCTCATGCTGCAGAACGCATCTATGTTGTTATCACTTTGAACGAAGTTAAAACTCCACTTCGAACAGCTCAAGACAATTTATGGGATCAAATAATGTGGATCGAAACAACCTTCGATAGTTCACTGTCGTTCTATGTTTATCTGTTCACAGGTGGAATTCTTTTTCGACAGACACTCCGAAAAATGTTTCGATGTGCAACAACGACATCCAGAACAACAGCACTCAACGACATGTCTCTTACGCAAGCTCAAACAATAAATTGATGCTTGATTTTTTGAGGAACAAATCTGTAATCAAACCAAATTATTATCTAAATGAAACATTGAACGTACTATAATCAATCTATATATTGTCGAAAATCATATTTAGTTTGTATTTTATTTGCATTAATGTCTGAATTTATTCCCTTAAATATATGTAATACCAGTTATTTATTCAATAAATCATTTGAATGTTGTGACTAGTTCATTATTTTATTGTCAATTTCAATTTTATATTTGTCATTCATTTAATCAAATGGTGAGAACATTTTTATTTTAGCATGTGTTGTTCGTTATGCAATATCAAATAATCATATTCATATTCGATCATTTATTCAATATCGAGTTGCTATCTATATAACAATATGTGTTCCTGTATTTTGGTTATTATTAACAATATATCCATCAAAATTATGTACATTTGAAAATGGAAAATGCGCAGGAAAAAATGTTCATCTTTTCTTATATTATCTATCTCTAGTGCTTTTATTGTTAATAATAAAAAATCTAAAATATATTCGTATTCGTGTTAAACTAACAAAAATTTCTCATTCGATAACACATCGTTTACATAAACATGATAGAGAAACTATGGCAATGTTATTGATTGAGGGATGAGTATCGGTATTTCTTATCTTTGCCATCAATACCCACACCCACCCATTTTCATGCTTTCTTACTGAGAATCAATAAAAAGTCTGAATTTAAATTTATTTAAGAAAAAATATCTGTATCAAAAACAAATGAATAGTTCATCGACTTTTAACAATAGTAATTTGATCAAGTATAACCATATCAGATACTCGATAATAAGTAAATGTAGCATGACTAGGATCAGTAATTGTTAGAAAACCAAATCCCGGATCAGTTGAAAGAAAACAAGAATCATTCGATCTTTGAGATAATTTATCGCTACCTTCAGGACTACCAATAGCACCATTGATCAAATAAACTGGACCAATTGGATTGACATATTGTGTTGTATTAACTACACCTAGAAAATATCAAACAAACAAACATATTTTTAAATTACATGTTTTTTTTATAGAAACATACCATTAAGACAAATTCGTTCATACCAATGTACATGACCAGCAAGATAAAGATCAACATTATATTGTATTAAAAGTGATTCAAAAGCTGCTTTACATGAAGGACAATTAATAATTCCATCTTCTTTTATATCAGCTTTCGAGATTGATCCTTTCCATGCTCGATGACATTGAACAATAACCCATGGAGTTATAGTACGGTTTACCTTCGATAAATCATTTTTTAACCAATTAACTTGAGTTGTTGTATCAAGAAGATTACCTGATGGTGCCAATGGAAAATCTGATTCACATGAAATTGATATAACATGTACAAAACCATAATCAAATGAATACCATGAATTTAAATAACCACCTGATTGTTTACTTGGCATATTAAATCGATGACTATAAGGAATTTGATTTTTTTTTGATGATGAACATAATTGATTTAACACAGGAATTTCTGTACAATTTACTTCATGATTACCAACAGCTGTCATATAAAAGCGTGTACTCGTTATATTCGTCATCATAGATTGACAATAATTAAATGCTCCTTCATATGTAAGAAATAAATCTTCGGGAGAATCATCTGCATAACATATATCACCATGATGTAAGAAGAAATCAGTTACTGGTAACATTTTTTGTAAAGCTCCTAATGCACGTTCAAATAGACATTTACCATTTAGGATATCTTCTACTATACCATCAACACCAAAATCACCATAAGTTATTATATTAATTGCTCGACTTCGACTACCATATACTGGAGCTGATGTAAATGAAAGAATATTTGATGCTGAAACATAGTTTGATTGTTTTATTTGATAATAATAAACTGTAGATGGTTGAAGATTTGTTAATTCTACACTATAAAACCAAGAAGTTTTCAAAATATGGTTTGTATCATAAACACTTGAATTTCCATTAATTGATGTTAAGTTTAAATTTGTTTTTGATAAACCATAAATAACAGTTGGAGTTGGATTTGGATTTGAAGTTGTTAATGGACAACTAAAGGATTGCCAACCAACACTAACACCTTGATTACCAGCAAATGCCAAGCGAATTTGATCGGGAACAAGTTTTGCGAGACAAATAGTCGAATCGAGAGATTTTATTAAAGACATTAAAATAAACACACAAATGAAATGCATTGTTTTCATAGCCATTTGCAAGTTAGTTTGTTTAACGATTGATATTTCTTTTCTGTATAATTATGCGTATATATATATATTAGCATATAAACTTCTATGAGTAATACAATTTAATGGAGGTGTAAAGCATGACGTGCGTGGTATAAGCAGAAAAAGCGTAGAACATAATCAATATGTATATATAAAAAAAATATATGAATAATTTTGTTCTGTTAAATCACATAATCATACTATGTAATCAAATAGTTTGTTTGATGACTAATGACAGGTATAGTAAACATGATAAAACGTTGAATATTGTATAAAATTAGTCATATTGGTTTTGTCATATATGACGAAAGAAAAAAGGAAAGAAAAGAACAGATGAAAAAGTTTTATTCTTAAATCAAAAGAAAAGTATTAGCGAAAATAATGCGATAAATTTGTTATTGATCTGGATAGATTTATCACTTTGACAATGTATGGGACGAATAGAATATCTTATCAGTTCATTGAATCATCAATAAATGTTCTTCAAATGAAAAATATGTTTATTAAAACTTTTAAAGTCCGATATTCTGTGATTTTCAATAGTTGAGAAAACATTATTTTATATGACATTAAAGTACATTCATTAGTATTTATTGATCTTTGATCGTATGAAAGGCAACAAACTTATTTCACGTCATTTATTATTACAGTTTATTTACTTAAGGAAACAAAATCTATATAATTAGAAAGTAAAAATGTAACACACAGCGAAGAATAGCAAACAAAAAAGAACATTCACTTCTTCTTGTACTATTTTTATTATGACCTTTTGCTTCTTGTAACTGAACGTACCTTTCCAAACTTTTGATCAATGTGAATTTTTTCGCTTCCTATTAATAAGTTTCTATAGAAACGTACTTTCTTCGTACTTTTTTCTTGACATCAGCGGTTTTTATTTGTGACGACAAAATTCTATATAAACGCTCACGTTCTACTGATTTATTATTCATTGGCATCTTTCCATCAGTCTTTTCAAAAAGAATAGTTTTCTTATAATCTATAGTGCCATGTGTGAATTATATTTATTATTATAGATTTTCTCAAAAAAAATACAAAACAATTATATAAGATATGTCCAATAACAAAGGTGTCGAAGCACTCAAAGGAGTATGGGATCAAGTAAGCTTTTAATTACTTCTCTGGCATGGATCTAATTTTTCTTTTTCTTTAGGTAAACGATGAAAATATGGATGGATTTTTAAAAGAACTCGGTATTGGAATGGTTAAACGTATGGCAGTTAAAAGCGTCAAGCCCCGTCTTGTTATTAGCGAAAATGGTGGTAAATGGACAATTCGATCCGAAAGCACACTTAAAACAAAAACAATGGAATTTACACCTGATGTTGAATTTGACGAAACAACAGCTGATGGACGTGAAGTTAAAGTTTGTCTATAACTTCATCATTTTTTTTCTTTCTTCATTTTTTTTACTTAATATTTTTAGACAATTGTTCGAGTTAAAGGTAATGCAATGGAACATACAATGCGAGGGAAGGATGGAAAAGAATGTATAGCTGTTCGTTACATAAATGATCGAGGTCAACAACAAGTTGTAAGTTAAATTTTATTTTTTTATTTTACACATAGTTTTCTTAACAGGATTTGAAATGCGGTTCGGTACAAGCCCATCGTTGGTTCAAACGTGTCGAATAATCAACGACATTGATAAAACTATTTTGTCCTGTTCATATGCTTAATTTTTTTTATGTTTGATCTGTGATATGTAAATCATTTTTCTATATTATTGTTATTTATATCGAAGAAATATCCGCTGACTGTTTCTTAGAGTTCATTATGGCCAGCAGCAAGTTTATTTGCTCATAACTTTGCTGCTCCAATTCGTGATTCAATTTGAGAAATAGAGAGTAGCGTGTGGGTGAGGGCGAGAAAGAAGTTACTGTGTCTTCAAACCAACATCCTTCAAGATACTTCGTCGATGTCTTTTACTAATGAAACTTGAACAAACAGTTTTAGTATTCCATTATATAGTAATTACTTCAAAAACATGATTGATAAGAAGTAAATTGTACGAAAAAAGAACCGATCAATTGATGAAATTTTGCAATGACTGTTTATTTTGACTCGTATCTGTGTATTTCATGTCTTTTATATATTACTTTTGAAGTTTTTAGACTTCACTTATCTTTTCTTCCAATTGTATACACTTCCTTGTCATTTATTTACATTTGTATGTTTCAGACTTATCATATCATTGACTTTTTTTAATAATAGAATTATTTAGTAAGTCTCTACTTTTATTAGAGAATAGAAGAATAAAATTTATTAACTTTAATAATTATATATAAAAAGATTATTATCAAACAACTGATTATTTCTACTTTTAATTGATTTTAAAAAAATATTATTATGATTATTATAGATATTTGACTTCAACGACTTATCTTTTATCAGAAATGTTTTTCTCGACAAATTTTTTGTTTATAAAATATTAACAATCGTTTATTGAGAACAGAAGAATTTGTATCACATATCGATTTTTTATTTTCTGATTATGATGATAAAAGTTGAATATTATTACTTTTAATTCAATTTAATTGAATCAATATTTCGATTTGATCGTGCATTGAGAAAAGGTGAACGTATTAAGCCACCAAAAATATTATTAGGAGTTATCTAAACATTTCCTGATCTACTTGGATAATATCCATTTATAACTAACTTGATCATTATAAGGTAATCCATTAAGAATTTCTAATCCTGAATGGATCATACCTTGATTATTATAAATATTTGCTAAAAGAAAAAGAAAATTTGATAGGAGTATTTTAAAAAATCTATACGAACGATAATAATTAGGTTAAAATGAATTCCATAGTTAATTAAATAAATTAAAAGCAATACCACTTTCTGGATATGCTATATAAGTATGCATATTATAATATCCACTTGCTGAAAATATATTTCTATCTGGTCATATTCCACGACGTTTGCGACAAGACCGATTTTCAATTTTAATAAAAAGAAATTTCATATTTCAATTAAAATTTCTGTTAAAAATAACAGAGATAAATACCAGTTATTCAGAGAATTGATAAAAATTAAATAATATTCGTTTTAAACATTAGTAATCTTTTTTATTTAATGATGTTGACGATTTAATAATACTACTGACAATTTCTTTTTCTCTCGTTCTTTTTTTCAATATAGAAATCGTTGCTGGTTTTGTTGTTTCTTTCTCTGTAATATGTATATACTAGCAGAGGTACCCGCTGCAAAACCCAGGACGATGGTTCCTGAATCAGGATTCCATGAATTTCCGGCAAAATCCCTGAAGAAACTCGCGATCTCTGAGTGGAACCCGTCCGAAAAAAAACGGGAATCCGATGGAGAAGTGAGATAACTGTATCCGGCTGTCGGTTTCGGTCCAAGCCAGGTAAATGCGGTCACCGGATCCGTTCAACCGGAATACCACGGAACAGGTCGTTTCCGTGCCGGATTGTTCGACCAAGGATTCATTTTAGTTGTATTAGACGATATAAAAAAATTGACGAATATGAACGTCGTTATTGATTCTAATAATGAATTATTTCACATTGAACAGTAAGTGAGATTATTCAACTAGATAAATATTAATTAGATATTTTCTTATTAGCGAAGCAGCATTAACATTGGCATTGAATAAAATTATTGATAATCTTCAAAATAATTCGATACAAGGTACACTATACATTGGAAAAAAATTAATTGACATGCATATATATTTTTTAATGTTAGGGAAACCTTCAAAATTTGCAACAACAATTAAAATCTTGCACGATTTCAGTCCGAAACAAATCTTTGCTGAGTATTATTGTTTAAAACGAGAACTTGAATATTTATTTATGTTCGTAATCTTTGTTTTAGATTATTAGCTGGTAATATCAATGGAAATCATAAAAAACGACGAAATTAACGAAGTTCAGCAAAAAAAATATTGGCATTCATTTTCTTCGTCAAACATATATATTTACGAAAAAATGTGTATATATTTTTGTTATTGGATCTATATTTTGTGTAAAATTTAGCACTTGTGTAGCAAATAAACTACGACGAAATTGTTTGAAATGTTTTAATTGATAAAAATGACAGAACATTTAGTTGATTATGAAAGATACAGTTTTATATAGATTTAACTAAAATTCTGCATAGAAATGATAATATATGGAAACAGATTGAAAAATTAATGTTATTTTTCAGGGTGTGAATGTGGGTGAGTGTGGTTGTTGGTGAAGGCGTTCAATGAATACTATACGCAGAGTAACACTCACACCCACACCCACCCTATATCGAAAAAGAAAATCTGACTGGATTCATTACTGCTGAAGATATTTGTAACATGGACGAATCACCATTAGCATTTTTTAGTGATCAAGCTAAAAAGTGTGTCAATGATATTGATACAGTTAATGAAATAAATGGATGTATCAGCAAAAAGGTAATCTACCACATTCTATTCAACTTATTAAATATCTTCTTCGTATAAATTTTCTTTCATTTTAGAAATTCTGCACATAAATACTAACTGTTTTTGGTGAAACTCAGCGAACGACACCTGTTTTATTCTTTAAAGGAAAAGGTCACGCTAGTGCTGATGAACGTCAACAATACTCAAAGGGTGTACACGTTATATTTTCACCAAAAGCAGTTATTAATGTGCCATCAATGAATACATTTATTACAAAGTGGTGGAAAATGGTAAGAGAACACGGCTTAAGTTCAGAAAGAGAATGAAAACATTTTCTACTATAATTCAATCATAGCATGGTTTTTCATTTAAACTCATCATCAGAATAGAATAAAAAATATAATTATCGCCTTAAAGCTCCATAAATATCTTACGAGTTAGTCTTTCACACGAATATTATTTATTTTATAGATCCATGATGATCATCCTAAACTGTTCATTACTGATTCAGCTAATTCTCATTTAAAACCAGACATAATTTAAAAATTACGAAAATAAAAGGTTGTTGTATCTGTTATACCCAAAGGATGCACACAATATTTGCAAGTTCTTGATACATCTGTTTTTAGTGTATTTAAAAACCAGTATCAAGCAGCTATTGATGAATATATTGATCGTTATGGTTCATTTAGTAAGATGAAATTGTCAGCTAGAGAACAACAAAGTATATGTGCTCGTTTCACTTGTGCAGCATGACTTCGTACATAAAAAAATGTTGATTTTGAACGTACTTTCTTGGATATTGGCATTACATGGGTCGATGAATCTCCTATTACTGTTCGATCTGTACCTGGTTTTGTTTTTGATCCATCAACTGTATCTTCTTCGATTAATAGTATTGATGATACTGAACAAGAATTTAATATAAGACTGATGACTCAAAAAGGAAAAATTTGCAAGAATTAGGTGTCAACAGCAATAACAAAATGAAACAGCTTAGTCTTGATCAATTTATTAAAAAGTTAAATTTTAATTGTAGTTCATTTGTTGGTTTTGTCTTTTTGTACTTTTTATTCTATATATGAAATATAATCATGGTGAACTAATTCCACATAGTCTTTATAAAATGTATCAAGGTTATTTTATCTCTTTATGCACAGGAATTTATATTAGAATATTAATTATAATACAAGGTCTTCATAATACAACAGCCGCTTTAAAATTTTGTACGCTAAAACATAATAGAAGACCCTTAACCTTTTGATATGAGAGGGGGGAGGGCGTTTCGTAATAATATGCAAAGTGCTACAACTCCGATGCAATTGATCGCATTATACAATCTACCTGAACGCAATACTACAACAAACTAATATTTAAATCTTCTTTGAGACGCAAAGTTTTATTCTTTCAGTTTTCTGCACATGAGATATAAAAAATGAACAAATAGTCGCATAGTTTTTGGAACTGTCAGAGATCTTCTGCTTTAATTTTTCTCTACTCCAACCCAATTTAACTCCCACTTTCGGACTGCCATCGTCACCATAGTTTGCTCTTTCGGTTCGAAGAAGCCATCCCATGTCATATAAAGGTAAACATCGAAGCCGGACTTGCTCTCTGCATAGATTGATGTCATTCCAGTGGCTTTCCAGTAAGGTTCTATACCACTGAGACTTACAAAGTAAACAGGCACAGTCCGGAACCGACAGTGAGACGTGTCAACATGGACGGTGATACCATAGCGACTGTCACTATAAGATTTCCACTGCGTGTGATTGGTTCGACCTTGACAAAGCTGAGGTTGTCGTGCGAGGATGTCTTTCTGGAGTTGATTGTTTTTCTCCTCGAGTGTGTTTACCTTTGTTAGCGGCATCTCCGAAGTTTCTTTCTGTTGACTAAGCTGTGCTTCTTGTGCTTGCGAAGTCTGCTTGAGTTCATTGTTCTCTTCCTCGAGTTCGTTCAGCTTCGTTACCTGCATCTCCGAAGTTTCTTTCTGCTGATTAACCTTTTGATTCAGGTTATCGAGCTGTAGTTCCTGTGCTTGTGAAGTCTGCTTGAGTTCATTGTTCTCTTCCTCAAGTGCATTCAGTTCAGTTATCAGCGTTTCCGAAGTTTCTTTCTGTTGACCAAGCTGTATTTCCTGTGCTTACGATGCCTGCTTGAGTTCGTTGATTACCTTCCACACGTTTCCGTCATTAGATATCCAGCCAGAGAGACCAAACCTGGTATATCCACTACCCTCGTTGATGCTCGGCGTTGCGAGTCCATGACAAGTAACGATAAAACACAAAGTAAAGTGTACGAGAAAGAGATGCATTTTTGAGAGTGTGGAATGGATGGTGATAATTGCTCTTAAATACTTTTCAATAAGGCAGTCATCGCGCATGTTTGCTGAAGGATTTATGACGCATATCATTCGATTTTTGTTTCGATATGCTAAGCCCTTGGGTGTCATGTTTCATGCGTATTTTTCCGAGAAAACGTGAAGAACCTTGAGATTAG